CCGACTACAGTCAATCCTGACGGAAGCCAGCCTGATCACCCTGGCTCTTGTCAATGCACTCAGTCAATGTTTTGTTTTCCAATATGTCTAGCATGTGTATGGTCTCAAACTTGGTTATTATTGTCGTTTCTGATTTCTTGGCCCAAAGTAGTTCCGTCCTACGTCTGCAGCATTTTCTAGTCCGAATCCCTGCAAACTCAACCTTCAGATTCATGATACAAACCACTCTGCTGTGGCACACAGACTCCAGAAACAAATATAGCATATGTCTCCTGGTACCGTTCTACGTCGAAGAAATTCAATAACAATTCGAGGATAATAGACTGCTTTCTGTTCGTAAACCCTAACGTCCTACAGTCACAAGTATGCCGATCAGTCCAATGATCGAAGCCTTTACGGATAGAGTGTAAGCCCTTTAGAGCAGAAGGCTTCTGTATTGACGCCACTTTTACGGAGAGAACGCGACTGGCTTAATAGAAACTTATTATTATTATCACTAATTGCACCAGTAACAGTTTTACTATACCTTTTGTTTAACTGTACTTAAAACCCACAATTTTGTCACCCTAACTTCACTCACTGTACGCACGTTAGTCTCACCCGTATACTTCAGCATAATCTCGGCATTATTTCGAAACGACGAGATCACCAACAAATGTATACTAATTACAACCTTCAAAATTCTCGATTTTGATTTCACTGAGTGATTTTACGTGGTAACTGAAAAGTAATTGGCCTGTAGTTGTGATCATAGTCAACCACAATGCATCACGCTACAGAAGTAATCCATACTGTGGATTACAAATATTTTATGGTAATTAAACGCTGATAGTGTTCCTTAATAATAATATATTTACTCTGTAATAACATTATGTTACAAGATTCATGCCAGTTTAAAGACTAGATCGAATTCGGATTCTATATAAGTTTCGGTTTCTAATAATACATATACATCATATCATTGACAGGAACAATTTAATACAGCCATATTTTCAACAAATGTGTACAAATAGGGTAGGTTCACAATGGGGTTCTTGGGTGGTTTGCTTAAATCAGAAGTGCATTTTATGATAAGTGTCAATTTGGAGAGCGCTTAATACAAGCTATGACCCAGACTTGCGCTTACTAAAGGTGCATTTCGCATGTAGGCTTCATGGATGTTCCCCTGTGAATAGGATCATAGAAAGGGATAAAAGAGAGAAAGAAAATAGCAATCATTTCATATAAACCGCTAAAATTAAAGTACATTATGGTGATATGGCTCTCAAATTAATGAGAACAACAATGAAGAATGAAGTGTTGAGGAATGTCAACTGGATCGAAGAGAATTTGAATTAAAATGCAGGATATCTGTACATTGAAACCGAAAGTTCAGTCAGAAGAGTAAAGTTTTTAAAAAGCATTGAAAATCATTTTTTTACTTTCTGACTTTTTTTTATCAAACTCTAACCTTCATTTCATAAAGTAAGTGCCTAAGAGAGCATGTTGCTGATCGTCGTGGCAGAATCGAGACCTTGGCATATTTTCGGAAACACGAGTATCAGAAGTAGCAGGCTTACAAGAGCAACATCAGCATCACTGATCAGTCGCCTCATCGATCGGAAAGAGCCGAAAGCAAACAATATGTTCTGCCTCAAAAACATGGATTGAAATCATCCTCAACACCACCAGTGCTCGCTGGTCAGTAACTACCCTCCTCCCTTTCGTGTTGTTAGTCTCATTTCAAATGATTGCAAGGGAATATTTTGTGTTCTGCTTAAGGCTCTATTTTTCACAAATAATATTTCTGCCAGTTCTTTTCACTAACTTGTCTGGCTGTTACAACTTATGAACTAGTGGTGAGGCATCAATATAATGCAATTAACAGTTTCGGAGAAAAAAGTACTGATTTTCAAAAAAGCTATAAGCATTTGGATATAGTGGTGGAGATGTGCTTGACGAAGTAGACTGAGAAGTTGAAGAGTGTTGTGGCTATAAGTGGAGCAATAGATAACAAGATGGATTCAGTATTACGTCAACAGGATCCATATCAGAACAGTAAAAGAGGTGATAGGCAGCATGAAACTCATAAAGTTATAGCCGTTGATAAAGCTTTGTCCAGAACAGTAGAGTGCATTTTATGAGGCAGTTGACAGTTGAAGAGCATCGATCGACCCAATGAGCAACCTGTCTGTTTCAAGTAAAAACTAGAGAGATTTGTATTCGACTAGAAAAATTTATTGATAATTCGGAGGGTAAAAAACAAATAAATAGAGCGCAGCACTGAGTTCTATGTAGTTTAAAGGTGTGCAGAGACAATAAGTTGGAAGCAGGGTGCCAGTGAGTTCTGGCGTGCAGTTGAATAAGTGCAACCGAAGGCTTTATTAACAAGCTGTGGAACCTCATCTAGCCTACCTTTCATGCGCATTTCTGAGAGCAGGCAATTCCATATCAGTGAGGAAGAAGATTACTGGAGTCTTGAACTTATATATCTCAAGTTTTACCGTAGACACGTTATTTCGAAGGCCTTGGATAAAAAAATGCACTACAAGAGGAGTATTCGGGCTTGTGGAGGAGCTTGAAGCGAAAGATTAGATAGTACTTAAGCCTTCTTTTATATCAAGTTAGAAAGGCAGTGAGTGTTCTAGTGAAATTCCTTTGTATTCCTTCAAACTTCAAAAGATCAGATAGGCGTAAATCTGAAAATAACATAAGGCTGTATTCAGCAATAGTTCTAGCGCATGTTTTGTAAAGAAATGTTTTGGATTCTTTATGAAGGAAGTGACGAAAAATGAAACCAAGCATTCTTCTCGTTCGGAAAACTTTGTTGGAAATATGTTCAGAGAAGTTTAGGTTGTGCGAGTGATGCACTCCTAGATCAGTTACTGATGTGAGTTTAGTTTACATTCTCGCTTAAAGCGACACTTATTTTGGCCAACGTGCCTCCAAAACATATCCATCCACATTTCTTAGTACTTAGTTCTAAGTTCCAACCCTTACTACAGTTATCTAGATTATTGAGTTGATAGTGGATTGCGTGTGTCGAATTTCCGAAGTCACATTTGTTAGATTTATAAATCACTTAAAGGTCATCAGCCTAAGAGTAGGTTTTGCCAGTGTTGAAGCAACCGCATATGCTGTTGATGTAGTTTATAAAAGAAGTGAACCCAAAATACGTAGCTTAGTCTTATACACATCCTAAATTTTATCATACTTTGTTCTTCTGAGTATCTATAAATACTTCAACGGTTTTATCTGTCAGATGACTATTCTTCAAATAAAGTACTACCCACACCAAGTCAGCAAGAAGTGCTAACACAATTCATTTGAGAAACAAAATCAAGTTTGGAAACCAACAAACGGCCCATTATTTTCCATATAAAAGACATCAGAAATGGCGACAAAATTACCGAAGCTGTTTGGAATGGATATGGGACACAAACCAGCATATAAGTGAACAAAGTGCACGTCCTCATCTATGATTGAACAAACATCAGTCTGCGATCAAACGCGTTGACACGGTTTCACTCATAGAGAAGCAAGTGGATACCTGTGGACACCATTCGACTGGAAAAATGTTGAAATCTCGAATACAAAGAAGATGAAAGAACTTTTGGAAGCTTGGATCAGCAGTCAACAATCATACGGAAATCGACCCAATTTATGAAACGATCAAAAAAATCAAGTGTGGATATTGAACCAATAATCATATCAAATTGGATACAATCAATGTAAAGATGCATATCATGACCTGTTACAGATCAATAATAACAAACCAAGATCGAGATGCATCTAAGCTGGAACATCTCGTAAATATTAAAATAGACTTTTTTGAAAATACGTTTGCCGAATAATTTCTATCAAGTTAAATGTCTTATAATTTCATTGGCAGATGCAGGAATCTAAATGAATGATTTGTTTATATTTACATATTTTTACTTTGGTTTACTCCACTCAATCTCTATTTTAAAGATAATGGGCTTAGATTATTGTTTTATGAACTGTTCGAAGAATTTAGTCGTAACTTGACTTCTCGGGCATTATTTCGGCATTTAACACTTGAAGATATCTCCATAAGACTTCTGAGATCGAAAAATACCTAAAGCCTTGTTAAATCAGTAATCAGCAATGGAGAACATCGAAATTGTAGTTAAAGAGTGGTTGGGATGTCAAGGAGTGAATGGATTAAGCTTGCTAGTTGTTGCGAGGAGATGAGTTGCATGACGTACCCAAATATGATCTGACGCAAACGCGTGACCAAGATTTTCCAAATAGGGTTTGTTCAATAAAACTCATGAGATTAACATCTATCTCGAGGGCTAACTGAACTCCTTAGTTTAGATAACGTTATACCACTGCAGATCCAAAAATGAAGTTGGCAGGGAAATCGAAATCGACTGAATATTACAGCGTCGGATTGCTGATTAACTCACATCTCTACTAATTTGCTTGTTGATTTTTGATGCTGCCACTTTTCCAGCTGACTTATTATCGTGTGAAAAAGAGTAATTCAGTAAAGCGAAAGGTAAAGAAATGAGTAAAAGGGGGAATCAAGCCACATTTCTTCACAGAATCCGAGAAACTGAACCTAGTTTAAAAGAAGTTTGCTTTTTGTGAGCCTTAAATACTTTCCAATGTAATGATCAGAAATCCTGTAGCCATCCAGCCTTAGTCTATCCTTCCAGATCTTTTGATAATAAAGCGTAAGTAATCATTAATTGTTTTTATTACTATTATTTTTTGGAAGTAGGTGCATTTGTGAGCTCGACGTGGCATCGACAAATTTCCATTTTGCTTCCTCATATTTGTAGTTTTCCTGAACCACGATACTGTGCAAACTCTCTTATCACATAAGTCACTTTACGAATAGACCCAAATAGCTACAACTAACAGGAACACACTAGTTTAAATGAATCAGCTGATCATGCCAGCTACTCCAGAGGGTATTGGTTATTGACAGGTCATTTTCGTAGCGGTCTAACCAAATATCAGCGCTATGTTCTCGTAGTAACTATGGCCTTATGGACTCTTATAAAACTTCGCCAAATATAAGTTCTCCAGCCCTTTCTAGTCCATCAAACTCCTTCATATCAGAAGAAGACAGAGTTGATTCTGATATTGAAGCAGATATACTACAAGCCGATATTGGTATAAATGTGTGATTTGTTAATTTCATCACTTCAGATGAAAATGCGACCGTCAGAACATGCTCTCCAGCTTCTTTGCAGTCATCAAGGCTTTCAAGCTCGTCAGAAGTGTTTATTCGTAAAACCGTATTGTCCTCCGTATCCTGTCAGCTAAAGAATTCTTCAGTAAAATGTCATGTAGGCGACCCTTCATGCATAGTAAGTTTGTATTACTTGTCAATAGTAGTCCGATTTTCGAGTTCAAAATTATTTCGTTGACTTTAATGATCCTTATGAGAGCATGAATCTCTCAAATCCATCTTGATTTAAAGATCATTTCTTCCTGGTGTGGAGTTTGCTTAAATTAGCAAGATGTTTGAAAACTGTTTACATTGTTTATTTGTGTTTGGTCTTTCGTATTGCAGATAGCTTTGTAACGTTTACGAAACGTTCAATGCGTGAGCAATGTAAGATACCATCAACTGATAAGTGAAAAGGTTTCGTGGGTTTATTTTACTTTGGTGAGAGACCTTTAAATTGCCTAATCTATACAACCGCATTGTCACCAACTTTGAACTTTTCTTTGCTTCACATAAATTTCCATCTATGTTTAGTCTTATGTCTAAAAATCTATATACTTCTATTTATCATAACAAAATAAGTACGTTATTATACTAATATTTATCAAGTATCAAGGAATGGGTCTCTGTTGGTACGCTTGAAAAAATTCAAGAAAGGAGGGACGAGTAAAACTAATCAAAATCAACCGAACAAGAGTAGAGAAGACCAAGGCACAAGCTGAATACTCAGATTCAAACAAGCAAGTGAAGAGGAGCATCAGAGCTGACAAACGTAAACATGTGGGAGATCTAGCAGTGACGGCGAAAAGGCTGCAAGAGACGGAAACTTGAGACAGTTGTACGATACAACAAAGATGTTCGCTGGGAACTATAGTAAACCAGAGCGACCAGTGGAAAGGAAGGAAGGCAAAACAATCATCGACACTGAAAAACAGAGACACAGGTTGGTAGAGCACTTTAAGGAACACTTGTGTTAGTAGGACACAGATGGAATTAAAGCATAACTACGTTGCTGCGCACTGATTGTCTAATTTCCTATACAATCAGCGCTTGATAGATTCTTGGAGAACAGGGTAGAAAGTTCTCGTGTTGTTAGCTGCACGCTGATTGGCTAAATCTAATCCAGTAGATCACGTGAATTACAACCCAGAAGCTCCTCATGTAAATACTATAAAGAAACTAAGGTTGTATCTATTTCGCCTTCGACTTCTCATTTCCATTTAACCTTGCTATTTTGAACATAATCTTTTCCTGTTCCACCGTGTTTTTGATTCTTCGGAACTTGTCCAGTGTATTGTGGTCAGAGAATACTAACCAATAGGAATTAGCTGGGAATTATGTAAGCAAGCGTTACATTAACTTGAATGGACCAGCTCCACCAAATATACCCAACATCGAAGCAGTATCTACGGACCTCCCAATCGATGTTGGGTCATCAACAATTGAAGAGATCAGTATGGCTATATATATATATATATATATATATATATATATATATATATATATATATATATATATGATTATATTCATGGTGATTGCTCTTTTACAATTGCATACCTTTATTAATACTTATGATTTATGCTTGTCAAATGTGATATACCCTATTATTTGAACGTAATTCAGTATATTAGGTCTCTCACCTTAAATCAACTGTAGGTTTTGGCTGCTAATCACAATCTTTTCTCGTCTTTGTGCCACTAGCTGTAAATTTACATCATGACTTATAAATAGCATGGTTATCCACCACTTGTATTGGTTGTAAGATTCTATGTTCTTAGGTATGTCACACTACCACTTGGTAAATACTTCACTTTTGGTTTCGAAAAACTGCATATTTATACGTTAGCTTTGAAGCCTAATGGAATAACCAATTGTTATTCTTTTATATTTGTACTTCTGTTTAGTCTTTTCGCAAGTATGTAGCAATCGGGACAAACAAAGGTGTCATATTTATTTTCAGTAAGTTCATATTATCCGTTTTATTTCCGAAGTATGCACCATGTATGTTTTCATACATTGTTCTGTGCTTATTTTATGTGGATAATACTTCTACGTTAGTTATTCAATGTGCCACAAAATATAAGTATTTTATTCACATTCTTAAAGTTCACAATGAACTGTCTAAGAAGTATTCGAGATCACAAGAAAACTGCATTTTTTTACGAAGTCTTTTTTCTCGAAATTATTTTTCCCGGTTTAAATTTTTCGTTCATCTGATTTAATATACAATTTATTTTCATAAATATTTGTGCAAATTCTTTGTAGTATATTTTAAAGTCGTAGCTAAGCTGCGTAATCTACTTCAAACGTTTTTACTTTTTTCTTGACTGTCTAATTGAGCCTATTACCAATTGATCAGTAGGTAATATTCAGTAACATTTTTCTGCTTATTATTAATTGAGCAAAATTGTTTCTGGCTATATCTTTAGATAGTAGCTACTATATTGACTTGGTGGTCGCACTTGCCTATCTTGATTACCCAACCGAGCTATATTGGCTGGAACATATGTTTCTGTAGGCTCTGTCATGCCAGGCAGGTCTATTGGAGAATGATGAGACTAAAAGCAGCTACTCAAGGTCTGAGGGCGAAGTTGTACTGCTGACTGTAGACGGGTGTGACAGCAGTAGTGTGTTTCCCTCGGACAAGCGTGGGAGAGCAGCAGGTCCTGATAGATTGACCCCTGAGGATTTTAGGGATGGTGGTCGAGTTTCAGCAACTAGATTGACAGAGATCTTAGGTAGGATTTGGGAACTGGACGTAATCCCATCCGACTGGTCTCAATCACTGATTGTCCCAGTCTATGAAATAGAATAAAAGTCCTCTTGCGTCAGTCACTGCGTAATCAGTCCGACTAATATAGTGTCTTAAATATTGACCTCAATAATACTCCGACGCCTAACTAGACCTCGTGAAGAGGAGACTCAAGAAAACCAGGCTGGTTTGAGATCTAGACGTGACTGTATGAACCACTCAGGTCCTAGGATTTAGACACACGCTCAGACACCCCACAATATTATCATTTCTCGACCTTCGGGGGGCGTATGACTTTGTTGATCCTGATGTTCTGTGACAGTGTTTGTCACTGAAAGGTGTACCAGAGAAGTACATTAACCTTATACAGGCTCTCTACTCGAACACAACTGGTCGAGTTAGAGCTGATGGCGAACTGTAATCAGGATTGATTACTTCAAGTGGTCTTCGTGAAGGTTGTCCACTTTCTCCATTCTTATTCAACCTTTTCATAGACATGCACTCATAGATAACACTTTTCTCGTGTGATTTTTCAGGAATTGAACTTTTTCCAGGATATTCACTTCTCGACATAGAATATGTCTATGACATAGTTCTGTTCGGTAAAAACGCTGAAAAAAGGCAGTCTTCTGACTACCTTAAACAACCATGCACGCATATTCGGGATACGATCCTCCCCGTCGAAAAGCAAAATGTTGCTTCAGGATTAGATTGCATTGGCGCCTGAACTAGTGATAGGGAGTGAAGTAGTTGGGCGTGTCGATCAATTAGTTCACTTATCTGGTGGGTCTCATCAGTGCTGATGGCTTGGTGACTGAGGAAATCTCAGCACAGATACAGAAGGCTCGACTGGATTTTGGCAACTTGCGTCACTTGTGGCGTAGGCGAGATATCCGTTTGCTGATTAAAGGATGAGTGTACTGTGCAGTAGTTCGCTCCGTCCTACTTTATGGCTGTGAAACATGGCCAGTCAGAGTTGGAGATATTCGTAGGTTGCTTGTTTTCGATCATAGGTGCCTTCAAAGCATTGTTCGAATATCCTGGGACCACTGAGTAAGCAATGACGTTGTTAGGAAACGGGTACTACGTAAGGATGGCAAATGAATATATGAAGTATTGAATCATCAGTTGAAGTGGTTGGGACATGTGTTACGTATGCTCAACCACCGACTGCCACGACGAGTGAAGTTTTGTGATGTAAGAATAGATTGGAATAAAGCTAGGGGCTGCCAAACCAAAACATGGCAGAAATCCATGAAGTCACTGAAAGGTGGACTGAGTCATATTGGTGAGTGTAGACTACTTAGTTGAAGCCCGCGACGATGGTAACCAATGGTTAGGGACTTTGAATGACATGGCTCAAAATCGTTTGCAGTTGGGCAGGCGTATCCATTCTTTGTGTTTTTTGAAACCCTAATCTTTCTGATTACTGCTTGTACTTCAACTACCTCTACTTTTTGGAGATTTGAAGTGACAGTTGCTTCTCTGTGCTAATCTGAAATGGCAACTTGAATTAATGTATGTATGTACAAAATTCTACGTTGTTACTGACTGAGTGTAAACTGGTACTTCTCTTGTCCACTAGTTTCAAAAATGCATGATGCATCTAATGGGTGTCAACAAACATGATGTTAACGATTCCCTACCTTTTTCTCCAAATACCAAGCATTAATGATCTAATTGGCACCAAGTGTTTTATCACTTCGCTATTTGATAGTCATTTACAAAAATCAACTTACTGTCTCTAATATCATTAACTCTTCGACTTGCATAGATGAATGTTGTCACTGTTTTTCATGCCTTCTATAGATGTACGTACATTTTTCGTCAGTTATAAGAATTATCATTCAATTGGGCTTACTAAAAGTTACACCTCTGCACTTTTAAGAAACTTTCAAATATTTTACCTGCATATATTTGTTAACGAATATGACCTAGTTGTCATTTAGTCGAATAACCTGCCTGAACTTTTGGGGCGTTTAGAGAACGAAAAACCCTGTTCAAAAGAAACACATTTTTCGTACTCGTAGAGTTTTTATTATCAAATTTAAACGTGTAAAGTTTGTCAATTCATCCGATTTCTTTGTTGGATTATCAAAATGAATACATGACCGGTTAGCATAGATATAGGCACAGTATTTTTGGTCTCTGATGACATTTGCTTGGCAGTCTAAACTATGGTGTTATTACTTATAAGACCAAGTATAGTATTAGTAATGTTTTATTTTCATTCAGGGAAATCCATACAATATTTCTATGAAACAACCTACTACTCTGTCGATCCTACATTCATTGTCATTACATGTTTCAACTCCAATTTCTCATTTCTGTTTTATAGATTTACACCAAGTTTTGAGACTTTGTTTCGGGAATATAAGCCCAGCAAATACTCCTGAAGCAAAAGCTGGAGAAGCTCAAGGTCCAATAACTGCTCTAAGCCAAAATCCGAATGGAACTTTATTAATGAGTGTGTATAGTAGTGGTAGAATTGCAGTTTGGCAAATTCCTACTTCAGTCTTATCTGAAAAATGTGGACAAGACACAATAATGGGTTACCAGTATGCTCCTAGTGATGAGTCAGACATACCGGAAACAACACAAAGAAACGATAATGGTCTTGGCCCTCATCACTTAACTAACAACTATGCACCACAGGGGTTGTCAATGGCTCCCAAAAAGAAGAGTTCTATTTCCTTTTCTAATAGCTATAATTATGGGCGTCTCCTGTGTATAATCGACGATGCACATGGAGTTGGTCATTCAATCAGTTTTTGTTGTTTTACTACTGTCTCCTCATTAGCTTCCTGTGTTGACACCGGAGGATCAGTGTTTCAAATTAAGTTTACGTGAGTTTAAAAATCTTGTTTTTCAAAATAGCGTTTCAAGATGGTGAGAACAGTCATTTTAAAAACGACGTCTCATCATTGTTTTTTCTACCTTTTCGGACCCAATGTACTTTTCATTTTGAGTGACCGATGCACCTAACTTTCATACATCCTGCTGTTTTTAGTTTCTTGACAACATTAAGTGATGATTATGAATATTTTGTTTCCGTTTGTTTTTTTAATAATCGTATATTTGTTTTATTCTAGACAAGGCTTGGTAGGTATGAAGGGAGAAGCTATGTGTTTCTTTTCTGGAAGGTAAGTTTCAAGTAACAGTCTATTAATTGAATGTTTTTTGTCAGCATTTCATTGTTGAATGTCAGTGTTCATTAGAAATAAGAATCTTGTTTTCATTTTTATTGTCTTACTAGTTACATATCGTCACGTAAACTTCATAAAAGTCATTGTTGTTGACGAATATAAACTAATATTTTTGATCACATCCATCTCAAATATTCTTTGATTTATTTCATGTTTTACATCTCTTTCGTCCCTGTACAAAAATATGTTTCATAAAAGTCATCTTTTTGATATCAGTATGCACTGCTATCACCACAAAGTTTTAATCAATACATAATTCTGCTCATGTAAAACTCGATTTATGCAGTAATTTCGCTGCAGAAAATATCTTGTTAAAGTCTCAAATTTTAAACAATAACAGTAAAATTAAAACGCTTTTATTACAAAATGGGGATGAACTTAGTATCCAAAGTACGTTGTAGCAGCGCTAAAGTTTTTGTTCATTTTAACTCGTGTTTATTTTTTTAAAATCTGAATACATTGAATTGACGATTTATGTACAATTTTTTTTCTCAGTCGTGGAGAAATATGTGTAATGGAAGCCCTCGGATTGAATGCTATGAAAACTAATAAAAATTTCGATTCAAAACAACTAGATGACCAAGTGAAAGAAGCTAAACTCTCCATTCTAAGTTCTTCTGCTCTTTTAGCCATGGCTTCATTTACCAAGCTGATCATTGTACAACTGCGTCCTCGTGTTCAAGTTGCACACTGGCAGGTTTTGAAAGTTAGTTTTCAAATAACAGTATCCTCACTTATCTTCGTCCCGGATTAGTAGACGCAATCCTTTTGTTGCGTCCGTTTTGATCTCGGAATAAATAACTACGTAGTGTTTGAGATACTTCTGTGTTTTGTTGACTTGATATAAATGTCTATTTAGTTAAGTGTGACCAAATATCATTTGGATTTATAGTGTAGTGAAGTAAATGTTAAGTTATTTAATAAACACTGTTATTGACTAGTAAATGTATCGAGTTAATAATTTTCTAAATTATTAGCTGCCTGAGGTTTCACTTAGATCTCTATTATGGGTGTTTTTTCATGCAAAGACAAAGAATTGAGCAGAATAGCATGAATTCATTTTATTTTGTCAAGTTCCTATTGGCTACTTACAATCCACACTATTTACAAATCCTTAGCAGACAAAAAACCCAATTTCATTCATCTCAAATCCAAAAAATTATGATTTCGCAGCAACATTAAACATTAAAACCACACTAAACAGAGCTTATCACACAGCCAAGCCTGTTATCCTGTATAAGACAATATGTTCTTTACTTCCACCACAGATCGATAAGTGCACATTTCTTGTTACCGTCAACTGCGTGTACAAATTGACACGTAACCTGCCAAGGCGGTTACATTGACAGAACAGAAAGAAGAGCCTACCTCCGGTTTCAAGCACACACTCCAGCAAGAGTTAAGTCAATCAGATTAAATGCTTTGAGCAGTGCTATTATTGCAAGGCATCTCTGTGACACAGGGTACCAAGTTGATAGATTTAAATCCTTCAGCACTATCAACTGATAGTCGAATTCCGTTCTTCTGAAATTGTCTAAAGCCATAGTTATCAAATAACTTGAGCTTCACTTATGTACCCAAAAGGAAACAGTTGTAAATCATTCCTTACCATGGTGAATTTATTGTCAGTTGATTACGTCATTCCTGCAAACAAATAATCCCTCTTGTTTTAATTGTATCACTCTCCTCAAATATATAACTCTATTAAGTTACCTCAACTCCTGTTATTCTTAATTGCTGTTAATTTATGATTCATTATATGACCAGTCAATAAATTATCATATCTGTATGATCTCCTATTACTATGTCTTCTTATCTAGAACCTCCCTTCAAATATTATATTTGTTTACAATACTCCTAATGTCTTCAATCTAACTATCGCACCTTGATTTTGATTTGACATTTGCGTCTCTGTGCTAATAATGTGGTATGGCAACATGAACTTATGTACATACGTACGAGGTTCTACGTTGCAACTGACTGACTGATCGCACCATGATGACTTGTATCCATTTTAACTGCATGTAAACTTTCAGATAATTCTAATTTTAAATTATAGGTTTTAAGCAGCTGATTATAGCTTTATAAAATAAAATGAATTAATCTTATTCTGTTTAGTTCTTCGTTCTTGCTTAATTCAGGATAATAAAGGTCTGTTTTTATCTCGAAGAGGTAAAGCTTCCGTCATGTAGTTTAACTATACAAATGAGATTATTATGGTATTTTTTATTTCACAGTGAAACTTTTTTATTCCAGGGACCACCTGCGCTTCTTCCTTTTTTAAATTGGTACTGGATCGCTGATTCTCCTGATACTGCATTTATTGCTTTTGGTCGAGGTTCAGTCGTTCACATTATGCAAGTCTCGAAAATCCTCCAATCAGACAACACTTCTGTGAATTCGTTACAACTAACTGATTCTCCTTTTCCTGATAGTACCAACTTATTACGTGCTAATACTTCAAAGAATAATGAAAATCAGCTTAGTTTTAGATTGTTATATACTTTCAGTTTTGAACAAAACTTTCTCAACCTGAAGGTACTTAATTTTTTATCGTTGCTTGTTTAACTAATTGCCATGTGATTTAATTATTTCTCCAAAACTTGATCTAGTGTTGATGTATATGTTTACAGGGAAAATCCCCTTTAATCTGTAAACTCCATCGCTTACATAGTGAATTTATTCTTATCTACCTTATATTGTTAATTGAATTGTCTAAAATTTTTTTGTAAATCTTTACATCCCAAATTACTAGTTGATACTTTTGTTTAATCTAATGTCGATTATTTCATTTTTACTTTTGCTATTGCTAGTGGATCTCTTTTGATCAACTTATTGCTGTGAATGAAAGTGAACAACTTGATTTGTTGAATAGTATAACTGGTGAAATACTAGAAGTAAGCTTTATTTTGCTTATCAGTAGTCATTTAAAGAAAAATTATTATCATATTATTCTCATATATGCCTCATAGATTGTTATCGTTATTAGTCAGTCAGTCAGTTACAACGTAGAACTTCGTACGTACGTAAATCAATTTAGGTTCTTACCATATTAGCACAGATACACAATTATCGATTCAAATCTCGTGGTGGTAGAGGTAGTAGAAGTATTAGCAGTAATCGGAGAGATCAAGGTTTGAAGATATTATTCAAGAAGTAGTATCTAGTAAAATAAACCTAAAAACTTACAGGTGATAAGGAATTCAGAAGGCTAGGATTTGGGAGAACACAAAGAATGAATGCATCTGCGCCATTGTAAACGGTTTTGAGCTGTCATTCAATGTCTCTAACCATCGGTTACTATCACCTTGCGGACTCCAACCAGGTCCAACTTATCACTACATCGCAAAGCATAGCTCGACGAGTCAGTCGGTGGTTAGGTGTACGCAACGCATGTCCTAACCATCTCAACTGATGAAGTTTCACTACTTCATCTATTGATTTGCCATCCATTCCTGGTACTCATTTCCTAACGACAGCATTGCTCACTCGGTTGACCCAGAATACACGAGGAATGCTTCGAAGACACCTATAATCGAATACTACTAATCGAGCCTTCTGTATTCGTGCTGAGATGTCGTCAGTCACCAGACCGTCAGTACCGGTGAGACTGCCGAGGTAAGTGAGGCGGTCGACACACTCGACTACTTCACTTCCTATCACTAGTTCAGGTGCTGATACAAGCCAATCCTGAATCAACATTTTGCATTTTGAAGGGGGAAAGATTATTAGTGTATACTGGTCTAGCTGATGTTATACTCAAGATACACGACTCACAACTAACAATGATAAACTAAATTTATATGCCAAATCAATAGCTTAATTAATAAAAAAGATACCATCAGTCTACTCATATAGTAAAACGCCAAGTAGAAATTAATTATTAGATACCATACGCCCTATCACTAGTTCAGGTGCCGATGCAAGTCCATCCTGAAGCAACATTGTGCATATCGAGGGGGAAACTGCATGCTGAACATGCTTGCATTGTTGCTCAGGGTAATCAGAAGACTTTGCATTTTATCAGCGTCTTTACCTATTTTTATTATAGTCTGGATAACTTAATTTTTTTGAAGATTGGAATTTAAAAATTATTATTAGTTTTTCGTTCTACAGATCATAATCACTTAGCACTAAGCGAGTTTAAAGCAGTTAGAATTACTTTTGATTTAATATGGTGAATAGATCAGATCGCTCTTTTCCTGTTTATTGAGACAAAACTTGAACTCAATGTAATATTTTTCTTATAAGGTATTCTTGTATAACTGTATCTGCACACCGTATTACTTACTTGCGCCTGTTACCACCAATGGAGCATAGGCCGCCGACCAGTATCCTCCAACGTACTATGTCCTGGGCCTCCCTTTCCAGTTCTGTCCAATTTTTGTTCATTCTTCTCATGTCTGTCTCCACTACTCGGCGTAATGTTTTTTGGCCTTCCTCTTTTCCTTTGTCCGTATTACATTCGTACGCCGTATTACATTGCACTAATTTAGTTCTAAACGTAGTCCGACTACTGCTCAACCTAGTTTTTATGCAAAATTAAAAATAGCTTTTCTGATAATATATCACTTGGAGTAGAAATATTACGGCTGTCGAAACTTCTGTTGATTTGTTACATGTCACTCGACTTCATATTTATTTATTTGGCCGAAAGTTTCGTCGAACTACTGTGTAAATGCAAGAGATAGTTATCCCTGCCTTTTTTCTCATCGCTGTATTTATTGGATTAAAATGAAGTATGAGTATGGAAAATATAATTGCGATAAACATATATTCGCTATTTTATTCAATACGACAAATTACCACAGGATATTTTGATCGAGTTGTCAATGAGATCTTATGTATGTTACAAAAACGAGTCAGTGCATCCTGATCTTACAAAGGCGATTATCACCAATTTTTCTTTCCTGAAAGCTTGTCACTTGTGTAGTTTTCTACAGATAGCTTGATTTTAAAGAATAATGGAGGCTAACATATCTCTTATCCTTCCAAGAACCATATGTACTTTTACTTTTTCTCTCACCATAACAGTAATATACTAAGAATCAAGTACGCTAGCGTGTATTCCTCTGTTTCTCAATTCATATGAACTGTAGTTCCGTGCTCAGAATCGTTAAACAATTCCTAATGGCTTTAAACATACTTCAAACACATAAATAACATCATTTTGAACTACATTCAACTTTATGTAGTTCAGTGATATTATTTCCCTTATCTAGTTGGTTTTGAAAGTTCCCAAAAGATTCTGGTTGCCTACCGTGATAGTAACCGAATACAATTATATTTTGGGTTAGCAGGATAACTGGGTACAGCTTATTTGTTACTGATTAGGTCTCATTCAACAAAGAAGTATCAAGCAAGTCGCTCTTGATAGTTTGATTGTGACTTTCTCAGGCATCTACTTAGCGCGGATGCAGAAAGCTCGATTGGCTTTTGCCAATTTACGCCGTTTATGACATAGGCGAGATATCCGTTCGCTAACCAAAGGATGGGTATACTGCGCAGCAGATCGCTCCGTTCTCCTATATGGATGCGAAACATAGTCGTTAAGAGTACAAGATATTTATAGGTTACTAGTATTCGATCATAGATGTCTTAGAAGCATTGCTCGTTTATACTGAGACAACCCAGTAAACAGTGCTATTGTTAGGAAACAAATACTATGTAAGAATGGTAGATCAATAGACGAAGTAGTGAAACTTCACCTGTTATAGGGTGGTTATGAAATGTGTTATGGATACCCAATCACCGACTGCCTCGATGAGCTATGTTTTGTGGTGTAGTAGTAGGTTGGAAGAAAGCCAGGGGCGGCCAAACCAAAACATGGCAGAAATGCATGGAGGCACTGACAAGTGTACTGAGTCACGTTGGTAGATGTAGGCTACCTGGTTGGTGTCCGGGAGACGAAAGTCACCAATGGTTAGAGACTTTGGACGACATGGCTCAAAATCGTTTGCAATGGCGCAAGTGCATCCATTCGTTGTGCTCTCTCAAATCCTAATCTTCTGGAATCGTCAGCACCTCTACCTTTGTCTTGCTAACCTTATCTCACTGAATTATACTTCTTGAATAATACCTTCAAACCCTAGTCTTCTTCATTACCAATAATACCTCTACTATCTCTATCACTATGGGATTTCATTTGACATTTGCATCTCTGTGCCAATGTGGTATGGCAACCTGAACTTATGTACATACGTACGAAGTTCTACGTTGCAACTGGCTGACAATTATTACTTGTTGTTATCAGTTTAACTAATAATTCCGCCCTAGATTACACGAATAGTGGTTTTTCAGCTCACTACTCATATTAACCACTTATAACCATATATATAAATTCTTATAATTCTTTTTCAGACCGTTGACATTTCAAATACTCATCTCCGTTACAATTCGGATTTATTTAAACATCCGAAAATTAGTGAAGCTCTTGTAAGTTTTCATGAATGTCCTACCTTTTCTTTTGACTTTAGCTAACTGATTTCCCTCTTCGTTTTGAAATCTTGACGGGAATTACGCGCCCACATTTTATTACGATCATTCATTTTATTTTTACATCAATTACACAGCTGAAACAATTTAGCTACAGCTAGTGAAGTGAATATTATGACTGTCGTTTTTTGTACCTACCTATATAGTAACTACAACACATTATTGTTTAGCCCAGGACAGACTTGTCTTTTATTTTACAGCATAAATTTATGATTGATGATGAATTAGGTTGGGTTCTATGATTGTGAAGATTTGTAAGTAATGTGAATAATTTTGGTGGAGATTCGACGGTTCAGTTTTGGGGCTTTTTTTGTTTTTTTTGACGACATTATCAGCACGAACTTCCAGTCAAATGTGTGTACACTACTGTTCATGTGCATTGTCGACATTTCATGAAGGTGGCTTCAGATGTCATACTTTGTATCATTGTATATCATTATGTTAGCCTCCTGGATATTAGTTTTTAGTGTTTATTCTTTATAACTTATCTAGATTTCATGTGGTTTAGAATCACTTCTGATAACAACCTAACACCGGCTTGTATCTAAAACTAGCATCTGCCACAAAAACTTTACGTAATCGTATGAGACAGAAAAATCTCAGCAATCAGATGCAGCTACATCTATAAACGTGTGTCGTATTGCCCCAAAATGCTCTGGTAAGACTCATAATGGGTGGAGAATCCTCCCCACCTCTCATTTGGTCATGCGTATACGGCCATTACCAGGGAGGTCGTACTCACTGCCTGGCGGCACGAATGTTGTTTACCAACCTGCGAGAATAAGAAGCGAATGCTCCGGGCTTAAACTTCGATGTTAGATACGGGGGATTCATCTGAGGTTGTCGGAAAATTCTCATTGCACACCATGGCGTACATAGGTTCCAGGATCCTGAAAGGACAAACGGAGTATGAACCTATTGTTAGTAATTGACTGTATCTCCTAACGCTGCTCCATGGTCCTGTGTATTCGACCTGTAGGTTAAAGGCTCGAAGTATAGCCATCTGCGAAAAGCACCTATTTCGGTTTTGGGTACCAGGCCAGTTCTCCAGCTCACACAAATATTCACTGGTTTGTGCAGCGCATAAGTATTCCAGTGCGCTTTCGTATCAATAGTTGTGTGTTTGAATAAATAAAGAAATAAAACAATCGGTTTAATTTGATAGATCATTGTAAAACTCGACGTGGTTTGAGATTAGATAGATAGTGGTCTACGTTGCATATTCGAACATAACAATTACGTAACGGGAAGTGTGTAAATAATTAGATAGTGAAGAATATCAATGGAGCGATGTGGAGAATTACAAACAAATACTCTATGTGAAAATAATGATAACAAAAAAGAAAAAGTCTTACAATCATTTAATAAGTTCTATCCTACCAAGGAAGGAATAGCGGTGTCATGAATTTCTTCTAAACATATAAATGGGAGTTAAATGTTCGGGTTCCGATGGCTTCTGCTCTATGTAGGAGATGGTATCGAACTCCGTTGGGAAATGACGGAAGTATATGATAGACCAATCGAAACGATTCAGTGTTATCTATATTATGACTGCTATCAATCATGTGTGCCAAGGTAGAGCTGCGTCTTGTTTTTATCTGGCCTTTTCCAAACCATGCTGGGAGATGTTCACTCATCCGTTTGTTAGGTCACCTGGTATATTGCCTGATATAACCATCTCCACAGGAGCAGCTGAATTTGTAAATGCTCATTAAGGAAGCCAATTCAGGCAACTCACTCTTGGTTTGAGTAGATATCTCTGGTCGACTTGAGAAAGCCAATCCAAGATTCGCTGCGTAGAATGTCCTACTAGTAACTTTCATGAATTTATCTTGCAGCGTATTGCTAGCTTCACCTCCGTTGAATCACAGTTTAGTTTTACACGCACTTCTGTATGAGCGTGCTGGTGTAGTTGATCTCGGTCAGTAAGTCGTTGCTAAATTCCAGCTCCTGACTTAAAGTATCCGCTGAACAGATCATTTTTGCTCTGATACATCCAACCTTATTTCTCTTGAAATGCATATGTGTAAAAATATAAAAGTAAGTATATTGGTAAGCAAAGGGACTTTTTTGTACACGCTTCTACTTATCGAGCCGTCACTTCGCTTACTTAGTGTGATGTTAAGGAATTACAGCTTTTGTCACACTCGTCTTTATCAGTGAAAGTGATTGCCGGGTGTACACTGTTGAATTGTTCTAGGAGTTTTCCTTTACTGATCTACAATAATAAATGCGTTATTGATGTTGCAAAATAAATTCATAAAATGAACGTTCATTAACACTGTTGTACTTTTAGCCGAAATTAAAACGTATATATGTTCATTCATAGACATTTTCATCTATCGCATTTTTTTACAGGCTTTTGCTGGAGAACGTGCTTGTATGCATTCTATTACTGCTTATGGATCTCAGTTATTGTTACTTGGTGAAACTGGTTTATACTTGATTGCATTACGTACTTGGAATGAGGTAAACCGTATTTTTGATTTTAAGAAAGAAATTACTTAATTAATTCATTCATCTTGAAGCAATTTCTTGTTACCTTAACTTTCTGTATACATGAGCAGTCATATATTGAAACAATCAATACCTTATCAGTTTGATTAAACTACGAAATCTTTTATTATCATTCTTCGGCCTTTACTTCAATAAATTTGACTTTGTTGAAGTGCTTTAAAATAGCTCTTCATTACGTAAACCTAGCTATTTTCTCCACTCAAATTAATTCGTCCACAATAGTTTAGCATGTCTAAAATACTTCTTAATTGTTTTTTTAGCTGTAACCTCAAGCTTTAAACATGTCAGTCAACAAAGAGGGGAACCTTAGCAACAACTGAAATGCAAGGTGACTTGGAGCTTATAAATATGCACAGTTGTTTGTGATATAAGCCAATACAGTCAATTATATATTAGGTATCATCTATCTGAGTGGCTCGTAGTATATGCCTAGATTTCATATTTAGAGCGTGGCTCACGTCTTAGTTCATTTAGATTTTTAATTATGACGCATGAAACAGAAAAGCGCTTCCTATTTTCTCAAAACTGTATTGATTATCTTGCTGTAACTCCTGTTAAATTTCAAAAATTTCAGAGCATCTAGTGTTGAGAGAAAAATAATTCAGTGTAAACGAAATACAACTTAATAAGTGTCAGATGTTAGATATTGTACTGATCACATTATGACTCACACCATTAGTTTCTGTAACAGAGTAAGTGGCAATTTTATTGCTCTGCCTGAAGATGATCTTCAGATTTCCTGGCAATTTTCTTCATGACTGAAAAGTGCATCCAGAAAAGTACTAAAACCTCTTCATCAAAATTGTTGTAGTTGGCCTTACCTACTGATTATCGGTTTTAATTGAGACGATAGGTTTTTCCCTGACACTACAACTTCAACAATATATCACTGTAGAGATAACGAACGAAATGGATGAATATAACCTGACATTTATTCCGTTTCCTTCAATAATCATTGTGTTCTTCTAATTTTAGATATTTATATTGTACGATAGTTTTTCTTAGTAGTTTCAAACATTGCTGATATTTGCATGAATCTACCTCAAAGTTATTTTCAAATTGTCTTCAAACAAAATTACATTTTAGAGTGTCATTTTTCTTTTACGCCGTAAACAACTTCAATTGGGTCTCAATTATATGGAAGCTGCACTGAAATCGTTAACAGCAGTCAACCAAACTAATGTTGCTTATTCTTCCAATGAAAAAGTGGAAAAAGATTATCATGGATCCTCATTTTACAATCAAATCCTGACCATTCTTCATGACGAAGTGCTTCAAGTATTAGTGTCTCAGGTTGAAGAACACGATAATTGGATATCTGCGTCTTCAGTTATTGAATCAATTTTTAGAATAGTCCTTATGATTAAGAAGCCGTAAGTGTTTTTACCACATAATAGGGTAACAACCTATGTACTAAATCAAATACTATATCAGTCTTTCCAGGACCTTTGCTCCATAGTTTTTACGGTTCATTAGTGGGTCAAGAAAAACGTAAAATCCAGCACAAATGTCAATCACCATTACGGGTTGGAATTACTTAAACAAATACAAAATTAGAAGTATAGCATTATATTTGGAAGTGAAATAGGTTAGGAATAAAACGAATGATCCGAAGGGAGATCGATTACTATCATCTCGCGGACCCCAACCAGGTAGCCTGCACCTACCTACATGCCTTAGTACACTTGTCAATGACTTCATGGATTTGTGCCATGTTTTGGTGTAGCCACCCCTAGCTTTCTTCCAACGAAGTCCAATACCATAAAACATCGCTCGTTGAGGTAGTCGGTGGTTGGGCATACGTAACACACGTCCCAACCATCTCAAATGATGAAGTTTCAATACTTCATCTATTCGTTTACCATCCATTCCTGGTATTCATTTCCTAACGACAGCGTTGCTCACTCGGTTGACCCAGGATACACAAGGAATGCTTCGAAGTCATGTACAATCGAATACTAATAACTTACAAATATCTTCGATTCTTACCGGCCATGTGGGGTGGAGATAACTGCTACGCAGTAGTCTCCTCCCTTGGTTAGCAAACGGATATCTCACCGACCGCATAGGTGACACAAGTTGGCAAAAGCCAGTCGAGCCTTCTGCATTCGTGCTGAGATAAGTAAAGCGGTCAACACGCTCAACTACTTCACTCCCTATCACTAGTTCACGTGCAGATACAAGCCAGTCGTGAAGCAACATTTTGCATGCCGAACATGCTTGCATTGTTGCTTAGGGTGATCAGAAGACTCTGCATTTTATCAGCGTCTTCACTAAACAGAATTATGTTATCGCCATGTTCTAAGTCGACAAACGATTCTCTCTTATATTATATTTTATTCAAACAGCTATGAGTATTATGTCTTCATTTATTACATGCTTGTTCTTTTCTTTTCATTTTAGTGATTTCATATGGTTGGATTTGTATCCAGCTGTTCGAACTTTCCCCCGCTTAACATCTGCTTTATTTAACGCTACGTTTTCTATTCTAAAGTCATTACCTCCATTTGAACAACTACGTGCAAACTGTTCTCCACCTGTACATACTATTGATCCCAAGCAGGATTTATTCAACTCCCTCCAGATATGACGAAGGACTTCATTGATTGGTGTTTACATCAAGTCGATACCTTAGAAGGAAGCTTAGATGATGTGAATTCGACTTGTAGTTACAGTTTATTTGATAAAAGAAGTATGACAGAAATTTGTCTTCTTCGTTTACATCCGTCATGCTTAGATATAAACTATGTAAGTGAAGTTCGAGAAGTCAGTGTTTGATTTCCGATCCATCCCTGAAAAACTTTATCACTTAATCGTTATACAGCTAGTGCTATTTATTTTTTTATAGATAATAATGGTTCCTGATACTGTACAAGCGTGTTTTCTTTGATGAAAAACATCTTCCTCTCAACTTTTATTTTATCTTAAAACGTCAGATTTTCAGAACACCTTGTCTTCACCCATGAAACTCGTTTAGTAAATTTTACTGAAATCTATCAGCACATGTTCAGATATTTTATTAATTATTTTCACATATTCATGTCAACATCCAACTCAGTATCTTGATAAGATGCCTTGCCTATATATTAGCCCAGTAGTTATTATACGAAATCTTGTTAACGTCTAGAAAACTTTGTAAACTATTTAGTTTGTGATCTACTGTAGTTTTGTTTGTTTTTCCTCCGATCGCGCATAACATGTATTATAAACTGGAATAATTCTTCAGGGTATAAAATTGATTTTGAATCTCCTTACTCCCAACGTTCATCTGGACCCTTTTCACACCAATCAAAAGTGTCGCTTAGCTAGTCAATGAAACGCCTATCATTGGACCCATAAAAGTAGTGACTACACACAGATTTAACTGTTGAATATGTTTGGACAAGCGTTCAGCACCAACTTGTTTCAAATTTCATTATTGAATAGAAGTTAAATACCATCGTCCTAATTCATTAATGGTTACAAATGTCTACTCAAAAAACTAATTTTTCCAAATAGACGAGCTAGCTGGGACAACTTTTGTTAACCTAGTATTCCAACCATTCAATGAAAATTACCGACTATCTACCGGACTTAACCAATCAGATTGTAATAAATCTGGGTAGGTGTTAGCTAAACATTGAATAGATAGTTGGTCTGGACAACATCATGCTAAACTTACGTAGAACTAATCGCATGATTAATTTTTAGAAAAATCAAAAGGATGTATCTTTTCTAATTTTATTCACCGCCACTTCGTCCCGTATAAATCTTGTCAGCTAACGTCCTTGTTTCAGTAGCAAGATTTGAACTTCGAACATTTGGTTTTAATTGTTATGGTGGTAAAACAATTGTTACGATATAAAAGGACTGCCCCAATTTCAGAATACATTCTCTCTTAAAATAACTGATTCTATATGAAACTCCTGATACCCCCATAAATGTGTGTCCAAAGTCCCTTTATCCAGCATAAATGACAACAACCATCCATGAAAATGACTGAATAGATTTTCAACAATATTAAATAAATTTCTTCATTTGGCACTTAAGTACAAGCCATGTTGTAAATGTAAGGTTTAGTAATACTTTCCGGTATGTAGAGCCAAATTCGAACTAGGTGCTTAGTGGTCGATCATGGAGCGCCTCTGCTGCTAAGCCACATCACTAATGTGAATCTCAAAACCAAACCTAACCAATCACTCACGACACTAAAAAGGCTAAATCCCTTTTTTAGGAGAGAGTTTTTGATACTTCTTGAAAAACTTTTTCGTCAAAATATAGTCGAAATAATGAAAGTCTAGTAAAAATGAAAGCCCGAAATGAAACAGTTTGAAAGAAATTTATAAAATTCCACATTCCCATTAATTAAAAAGGCAGATTGTAGCTCTGACTTTGGGACAAAGAATATTTTTCGATATTACTCATTTATTATGGTGAGTGACTTAACGTGCAAGTGGGTTGTGTATTGTGTTCTCTACTGACCGCTAGTTAGTAATTGGAATGGTGTCAATGAGAGTAAAGACTGTATCAAGCAGTCTTGAGTAAATGATTTGATAGGTTGAACTGAAAGAAAATAATCAGATATCTGTATAATCTCTAAAGGTTTGTTTTCTCTTATGTTACGGACTTTCAATTTGTTTTACAGATACATATTTTGGCCGCTTTTTATCTATTTCATAGGCTGTTAAGCTGTGTTGGACCAAAGGTCTCTTCGATGCTTACTTACATTTGTACACCGATATTTTAATGGATTTCGAAACACCTTTCAATGATCTCATACAGTGTCTGATCAATAGTTTAAACGATTCTAATAACGAAACAGGTATTGTGTATACATTTTATTTGCCATTTCCATTAACTTCTCATATTCCTGTTAGTTTGCTTTTTTATCACTATGATGCCTTTGAATATTCTGTAAACCCTATGTGCTTCTACTGCTTTCTTTTACTCGTTGGGATTGTTTACTATACTGATCTTGTTTCTTTAGATACTACAATCTTACGAAGTTTTGGTTCTCTTGAAATATTCAGTCCCATTTTGTGATGAATAATGATAAAATATAGTCTTTTCAACATCATTTATTCTTAAATTAATGTTGGTAGTATTACTTTCAGTGGTAGAATTATAATATATACTGACGATCTTGTGTGAACTAATGAGAATTATAACATCTACTCACGTATTTTGAGCGAAATTTACAATGCAGCGGTGGGTAACTTGTATGTTATTATTGAAAAAGTAGAAAGTGACAATATATACGATCCTTAAAATGCTTGAAATTGACAGAAATTCCTATTATGAAACCGAAAAGTGAATTTGAGGTAGTGATTAAACTGAATCGCCAAATATAACTGTTCTCAAGTCAGATCGTATAATAAAGTATTTTTTATGATTCAATGAGTTGTCAGTAGTGTTTAATGAAGCTAGATAATATCTTTCCTTTTTTGACTCTAAATCTCAACTACATTCCTCACAAGTTTGTAAACAGTAAAATGACGAAGCATTGTCTCAAATCTGATGTCAACTCTCAATGAAAGCTGTAACCTTAATATAAAACTCTAAACTCAGAACTTCAACTTAACTTTCAAAACCTTTCTCTAACCTTTTAGCATTGTAGCTTGTTTCAGTTTGTGATAAAAACTCTGGGGTGATAACCATGATTTGACTTTTATTAAGTGAACTTAGACTTTTTTCCCTACAAGAAATTATCCGACATGTGACAGTTGATCATTCATATAAAAGCTATAATTTTATGGCCTTTAGTTGTTCGTTGTTTTATAACTAGGACGTGTCGCCTGACAGAACCTCCAATGTCGTCAGTTTATTATTCTTTTCATTTTTCATCTAAGTGAGCTTATTTAAAACGTCGTGACTTGGACTAATACGAACACATAAACTTGCAAAAATTTGGTGTAAAACTTTAAGCTATTGCGAATTGACACAATATAGTAGGAAATAAAGTAGGTCAACTAGTCGGACGCTGAAATTGATGAGTACAGCATGAATAAGTAGTTGAAAAATTAAGTTAAAAATATTAACTGAATAAGTTTTATGGAGTTGATTTGAAGGCAATCACATTTATATTTTTATGGCAACCATAGGACAATGAGCATCTGTTTTATCGTCTTCGTGTCGAACTTCGTGGCTCTATGCACTTGTAATAATCATCATATTGTAGTGTGTCGATTTACTGCGTGTTCTTATGCTCGGTAATTAGCATGTCCAGACAATCGTTACTAACTAGCGTCTGATGGTTTATAAATCAAAAGGCGAACTCGTAGTGTTGAATACGTTTATTTGGGACACACCACAAAGCGAAGCGGAGAAGCAGTGAATAAAACGAATGAAGAGACGTGAATTGGAGAAGGCTAACGAGCCAACCCCAAGAAATAGAGCATGACTAAGAATATATAGTCAGAGAAAAATAAGACAGACATGTGACAGGCGAGCTAGGCATGTAACACATGAATAAAAGCGACGAATGGTTGACAAGGTCAAATGACAAGCGGGACACATCATGTGAGCTCATACAAACCAGACAATAATAAGAACGAATGGTACATATAAATTGTTGCAATACAAATGGCTTGGTTAAATAAATTAACCGAAAGGGCTTAACGAAATTAAATGTAAGCGAACTGGAATATATGTGGAGGCACAACAATATCACTTTTGTACCATGAATGATTTATTTCATTGTCTAAAATATGTGCTGTACGTGTTTTTCATCCCATGATTCATGTATTCTTTTTTTTCCAATACTGTTTGATAATCTAGAGGAATATGATGGTAATAGAATAGAAAAATGCGGTCATTGCCTACTGGTCTTACTTCGGTTGGCATTTGCAGGTGAATCGTTCAGTCATCAACGTTTACCATCTCCACTACATCAAGATATTCCTATAAAGGTTAAGTTTAGTTTACCTTTAAATTCTTAAATTGTTGTCTAATCCACGTTAAATCAAGTTGTTTTTTGGGATCCTCACTTACGTTATTAACAGTCTTACTTGGCGAAATCTTAGGCAACATTTGCATCGTATCTTCACTTGGAAATCACCATTCAAATTAGCATGCTGATGTACTACAATCGCGACTAAAAGAGGTAATCGCTAGTCACGTTTTAATCAAGAGATGCTTGCTCAGCTATATGTTGTCATACGGATTATCTGATATGCTTGAATGAGATGGTTGGTCAAAAGAAATTGGAACATAATTATCAGTTAAATCTCATAAATAAACCAGTCAGTAGAGCTCTTTGTTGCCATTTCTCAACAATGCAACTATCATACAGGTTTCGCTTTAAATTCAAATGTAATCCTCTGTCCTGCTAACTGTAGTATAATCAGTGTTTTTTTCCGGTTTTGTCCTTCATATTACTAACTTACTCGTGTATACTACTTCTAGGTTTTCAATCTTATGCTCAGTGAATCTATCCCTAACCTAAAATGTCCTCTTATATGTTTGCAAAATGTTAAATATCCTGTCTTACACTTGCTTCTGCGATACAATACAATAGACTTTCTCAATTTAGTCACTCTATCAGCTTGTGATGAGTTTTTTGCAAAAGGACAGCTGGGGTAAGCAGTTTTCATTGTATTTGATATAATTTGTTTCATGATAATGACTTCAGTACTAATTTGCACAAAGATCATTATATACAGAGAATGCTTAGTGTTGAATCTGATCACAAAATGCTCTTATTTCAGTGTTAACTAATCCGTTTCATACTAACTCTTAAATACCGATGTTTTCATATGCTATAATACTATTTATAATTAAATTAACGCATTTAAGGATTGTGAAATAACATAAATAGTAGTTGAAAATTACAACACAAAAATGTGTAACATTAACTAGCACCTTTTGAAAGCATAGATAATAATTAGTTGTTTTTTCTCTCTTTTCAACAGTCAGTCAGTCAGATACAACGTCACTCATGATTCTCTAACCATAGAACCACATTCTTGTTTGCCTCTATCAAATTAAAATTTCTGAATTCAGGAAATTTTCCCTGTTCTCATAACTGCATTAGACAATAGTTTACCATGTGCTACGTTGCTTATTCCGAATTTTTTGCAGTTATTTAACAGTTCATTAGGTTGGCTTATTTTATTTTTTCCACTCTCGCTTGATCCCCGCCTATTTATACAAATATCCAATCTTCTGCACTATCCGAAATACCATCTTGTGGAGATAAATTAATTTTATGCAAATTACTACCAACCTCTAAGCTCATTCACCTGTAGTTCTTCAACTCATGAATCCACCTGCTTATAGATTTGAAATTCCAACAGTGTATTTTGTTGTAATAATCGTTTGCTTATTCAAAAGGCTGAGACCGACCATACTAAATTAAACATCTTAAATAACTCCATAAAAGCTGATTGAATGACATCTATACAATAAACTTGATTTCTTGAAAAAACTCCAAGTAACTTTAAGATTGACCATTAATGCTTTTTTCACTTATTTTCTGGTTAATATTGATTAGTTATTAGAATATGTGTACATTTGGCGTGAAACTTTTTTATTTTCCTCAGATCTATTTAATCAATTGTCATTAATTTTATATGATTATTACAACAGTCAGTCACGACGTCAACAGCTTTACCATTGTCTGATTATAACCTCACTTCCACCACCATCGTCATCGTCAACAATCAATGAAGATTCGCAGTCCAATGCTATTGATCAAGTGACGGAATTGGAAAAGCCTAATCGCCAACTGTCAACGTATAATGTATCTATTCCATGTCGTGTATTTGTCTTCATCACAAATCAAATTAACCTGGTGCACAGTGACGAAATCGAAATTGATCATAATCTCGTTTATCAGGTGTGTTCACTTTATCCTACTTTTTGTCCATATTTTTCAAAAAACGGTTGACATCAAGTAATTTCTATTTGCTAAGTTTAGCAAATCTCTTGTCCTCACTGTGAAGCTTAAAAACAACACTTATAAGCGAACAATATTGTTTCCAATTAGATTGTCATCAGGCTTTTACTCAAATAAATAAGAATGTTTATATGGAAATGTTAAACCAATCAAGAGTCAATGATTACTTTGAAATATATTACGTCACTACACGTAATAGGTAAAAGTACAAGTTGATAGTAGAAAGACAGGTGTACTGATAGTGTAGTGAACGAGAACACAGGTGGGGCAACCGAATTGTGTTTAACGAAAATTACAGAGTTACTCAGTAAAATAGGAAAACCATATCGTAAATCGTTAATTTGCAAAATATCAGTCCATCATATCGAACTGGACTGTTCCTGTTGCAAAACACCAATCCATTGTCACTATTCATGCGTTTCATACAAATTCCACTGTGTTCTAACTCTTCCTTTCTTAATCTTCCCCCATCTTCTGCTGCCAGACATTACGTTGACACACACGTCATATACTACTCATAAGTAGCTCGCACCACAATTGTAGTAAGAGTAATAAGACACCATAACAAGGTATTTTGTCAATAGTTCAACGCTGGAAGTCAGGTCAAACGTGGATAAATAGACTTAAAATAATGATCACAAAACATAACAATTACGTAATAGGAAGTGTGTAAATAATTAGATAGAGAAGAATATCAATGGAGCGAGGTGGAGAATTACGTAAAGGATTCAGAATTCAATGGGACCGACTGGATCAAATACACCACGACTGTATGTTTTACCAAAAGTTCATAATTCGGGTATTCTCGATGACCCAAGTCAAGTCAGTTGCAACGTAGAACTTCGTACGTATGTACATCTACTGCTAAGATGTATACGTCCATTTTGTGTTTAACCGTACTTATTGTAGACTAGATTGAATCATCACCAACTTATTGACCGATATCAGATACATATCTGAAACTGGGTCATCGAGAGAGAGCTCAAAACATGGCTAACCACCGACTGCCCCGACGAGCTATGTTTTGAGCTCTCTCTCGATGACCCAGTTTCAGATATGTATCTGATATCGGTCAATAAGTTGGTGATGATTCAATCTAGTCTACAATAAGTACAGTTAAACACAAAATGGACGTATACATCTTAGCAGTAGACCGTTTTCTCTACCTCATCCAAACAAACTGTTTTAGTCATTATTGAAAGAAATCTAATGGAAAAAGTGGTCGTAAGCTGAATCAGCCGATGTTACATGGTAACCAATTTTCATGTCTCGAACTTTGAGAAATACAGATTTTGTGTTGTCACCGTACGTGCTATTTTTATCAGTTTTTTTCTTCATTGTCTAAAACGCGATGATCTGAATCGGTAAAGCGTCATGCTACTGCGCAGTAATTCGATCCATCCTAATTTATGGATGTGAAACATGGCCAGTCAGAGTAGAAGATATTCGTTGGTTGCTTGTTTTCGATCATAGGTGGCTCCAAAGCATTGCTCGTGTATCCTGGGACATTGAGTAAGCGATGCTGTTGTTAGGAAACGGGTAGTAGGCAAGGATGACAGGTCAGTAGATGAAGTATTGAAACTTCATCAGTTGAGTTGGTTGAGACATGTGTTGCGTATGCCCGATTACTGACTATCCGATTACTGCTACTACTTCTACTGCTATTCAATCTGTAATGACTGAATGAGCAATTAAAATTGTTCCCTCTGAAAACTGGTTTCTGATAAATGGAAATAAGTTTGTCAATGTCTGCTATAATTACTGGACAATTTTAATAGTTTGTTGCATTTTTCTGGTGTAACTTGAAATTCGGCTACTCTCTTTTGATCCACTTTCGTTCTACCATTATGAAACAACTAAACTGTTAAATACAGTTTTCGATGGGCAAACAAAATTGGTACTCGTTTCAGCAACCTTTTTTCTTGAGCCAGTTACCTAACTATATTCATTAGGGATCAAACAGTACTCCTCAATTTGATAACTGTGTGTTCTTACTGAATGAGAATTAGAAACAAATAAATAAAGATTATTATGAATCATGTAATCTAGTTTTCATGTTTTACGAACAAAAAAGAATCCGTTAAGTTGTACATCAATTTATTCATAATATTTTCAGTTATTTGTTAGCTGGCTTATGGTGTTGCAAAACCTGGCTTATCTCTTATTTCTAGCCCCATGAGTGCGCTAGATTTTTGAATCTCAGTAATCCTTATCATTGGCATGATCCTCAGTTTATCGTTTTCATTGTTTACTCTGTGGTTAGTTTCACACATTTGCATTTTCATGATTTCACTTTCATCTAATCGTTTTTTTTGTTACAAGTTGTTCAAATGTGTTTGCGATTCAAATCATAAATTGACTAGAAATCTCCTGTCCGAATTCGAATTAGCTGTGATTGAGTCAATCGAATTGGGCCTATTAAAACACCTCGAACAATGTGCCACTTTAAGCTCTGAAAAAGGACTGTAAGTGCACTTTATACTGTACTTTGTTAATTAATCACTTTGGTGTTTTCTAAGTAAATACAAATTTAATAATATAAAACCATGCAAATTAATGCATTGGTTCGTTTCATTTGAATTCATAACAGCGTAACAAATAAAAACAAAACAATCAACATAAAAACAACTTATTCGTATTTGCAATCCATAACGAATTGTTAATGAGTGGTAATTTCACATTACATAAGTTTTGTAGCTTCTTACTACTCACCTACAATAAGTTAATAGGCCAATGAGTTGTTAGAATCTAAATAAAGTGTATGCATTGATTATTGTTTAAGAAACTTGTAGAATTTTTATCGAACGGTCTTTCAAAATACACATTCGGAACTGTCTGGAAAGAATTAAAGATAAATTCGCATGAAAACTTTTGACCTTTCTATTAATGTATCTCAACATGTATACTCACACTGACTCATCATTTTGTTCACTTATTGAACAGCATACAGTTGTTGCATTTATATCTTTGCAAAGTTCACTCGCTGATTTTTCCGTGAATAACAGATGGAATAAGTTGTCCGCTTATCCGTGAAATCGATTTTATGTTGTTTTTTTATGCAACCAATCTGATTCATCACTTTCATACAATCCGAATATATTTCCAGCCCTTAATTATGTCAAGCTCAGTTGCATAATGCTGGGTAGATTCAAATCACCACTTTAATTGTCCTTCCACTGATCTAAGTTTAAACCATTAATTCTGTTAAGAATGAATCAATAGAGCTCATAATTCGAACGTATTATTATGTGTTACATAATAATCATGAATTTCCTATTTAGTATTAATTTTTTTCTTAGTTGCACATTAGTTTACCATTTGTAAGATATATAACTTAGTGTGTAATTCACGAAATACGCATTTCACATTTCTTCGCAAAATTTACTTCTGCATTTTCTTGTTTCATTTTTATTTATCAAAATAAATTGTTCATTGTACATATTTATATGTTACATATTGTGTTTAGTTTTCTTTCATACAAAATAAATTTTGTAGATATAAAGTATGTGAATATATTCATCAAACATGTGGCAATGAATTTCTCGTTTTAAAATATCAAATACTGTTATTAAGACGAATTATACTCTCTAACGACAGTAACACTTTCACTCATGCATCAATTCATTCAGACCATAATGCAGTGAAACTAGCTAGTTGCATTTTTCAGTATTTGGAGCGTCATATCAACGAGAAATTACATATTGGCAACGAAGATTTGAAAGTGATTTGCTTTGAACAGGCTGAAGTAATTCATTTGCTTATCGATTTTAATAAATCTCTGTTTTATGTAATTTTTATGGATTCCATTAAATGTAACTAAATTTAAATCGATCAATTCTGTTACTTATATAGTCAGAAATAAACCATATTAAGGGTTAATTTTCTCAAGAATAAAATGCTATCACTCATTGAATAGCTGTAGTAGCCTTCATTGGAGTGCTCTGCTGATTATGTAAGACTAATTATTTTCACACTAAATATTCATTATACGCATTAAGAATGAGCATAGTAAAATTTGAAGTGTTTGCAAAGTAGTAGTAGTTCAGTCATGTGGACACTTTCTTTGGAATCACTGCATTACATGTTCAAATCTATTCTAGGTAGTTTACAATCGGATTGCATGATCGTTTATCGATAAACTGTAAGTTAACAAGCTTTAGGAGAATATAGTCAACAATTGAACTTACTATCATCTCATTAGTGCTACGCCTACCGGTGCATAATAATTTCAATATAATATGTTTCTGCTTGATAATTGCTGCATTTTCGCTTAAAAGAAACACGTGTGAAACTCTTCAAGAATTAAAAAGCTTGTATTATTAAAATAGTTATCAATCATTCTTTCTGAAGAGTGATTTAGAAGTAGCTTATTTCAGTATATACTTTTGAAACAGTGATTGTCCTATTATCGGTGTTTATTGAATCAATTGGATTCACTAAAGAGTAACGTCAATCTTTTACTGAGTTATAAACGTCTGACTGTGTTAGACTTAATTTTTTAATAATGATTCCTTAAGTAGTATGAATCTCTACATTAGAAGTATCACAAGATCATTCAATCTACAAAAGAAAGATGTTTAAAATCCTTTACTATCATTTAGTTTGTACAGTCCTCTAATTTTTCATAGAATGACCCTTAACTGAATCAGTTTTACATTCTTGATTTCAAAGGTACTTGCTAGCTGGGATGAAGAACGCACATTAAAAATTTTATTTGGTTTAACAAATGCATCGATATCCGAATTACTTAATTTAATTAATTCATATGTGAAAGAGAAAATATCTAATCAGCGCACCACTCATTTAATTTTACGAGCTTTTTTTAAGTGTCGGTAAGTTATTATTTATAAAATTGAACAAGTTTAATAAATGTGGCTATACAGTTCTTATATACATAAATCTCGATGTTCGGTCATGTTTTTTTACACAACAAACTGGGTGCATTTTGTCATTGTAACACAATGTTAGGTATTGATATCAGTGAGTAAATTAATGTGGTTGATACTATCAAACATGAGGAATGAATAGTGGATACGTTTGTTCCACTGAGCTCCAAGGTCATCAATAGGATAACAAAAGGTGTATGAGTATAAAGAACCATTTTTTTCCAATTTCAACTCTTCACATACATTTTAATCTAGACAAAAACTTAATGTAAGAGAATAAGTTCGGTTGTTGAATCCTTAGTTTGACATATTTTCTGTTATTACTAGGTTGTCTATTTTCTTTGTCAAAAAATCCATTGTGATATTAATTTAATTTCATAATCATGTTAAAAAAATGGAACGCTTCACAAAAGCGTTCCAGTTCGCTCCGTCCTACTGTGTAGATGCGAAACATGGCCAGTAAGATTTGAGGATATTAGTAGGTTACTGGTATTCGATCATAGATTTCTCCAAAGCATTGCTCGTGTATCCTGGGACAACCGAGTAAGCAACGCTGTTGTTAAAAAACGGGTACTAGGTAAGGATGGCAAATCAATAGATGAAGTGTTGAAACTTCATCAGTTGAGGTGGTCGGGAAATGTGGTACGTATGCCCAACCACCGACTGCCTCAACGAGCTATGTTTAGTGGTGTAGAGCTAGGGGTGACCAAACCAAAACATGATACAAATCCATGAAGTCACTGACAAGTGGATTGAGTCATACTGTTAGGTGCAGACTACTTGGTTGAGATCTGCGAGATGGTATTAACCGATGGTTAGAGACTCTGAATAACTTAGCTTAAAACCGTTTGCAGTGGCCCATGTACATTCACTCTTTGTGTTCTCTGAAATTCTTATATTCTGAATTTCTCTATCTTTCTCTTTCGAAATCTATGTCACTGAATTATACTTCTTGAATAATATCGTCCAACCCTAATCTTCTCCATTACCGCTATTCTTTCTACTATCTCTACCACTATGTAATTTGAAGTGACAATGGCGTCTCTGTGCTAATGTGGTATGGCAACATAAACTTCTATACGTACATAATAAGTTCTACGTTGTAACTGACCGACTGACTGAGATGGTGGAGAAAATTTGTAGCTCAGGTAGATAACTTACTTACTGACCTTATCAAAATGTACATTTCGTTGTTCGTTGGCATCTATGTATTTGATTGATTTAATGTTAGTATGTTATGAGACTTTAATTTTCTTCTAATCCTCAGTCAGAAGATTCTGTATAAAATAGCATTTTTTTATTACATATTAAAATGCTTAAATTGCAGTGTTTACTTTGCTTTTTCGGGACGTAAACGCTAAAATTTATAATACATAACGTTTTTCGTATTAACTTTCCAGCGGTTATTCGGGTCAGTAATAATCAGCAATTCAATTAATATATGCTATTAAGCATTTTTTTTGCCTGCAATATTTTTAACTGTTCAGTTAATTAATTGCTTATTGACTCTATTAACCATAATGGATTCGTACTTGTTATTTATCTCACTTATTTACTCTGGGGTTTGTTATTGCTTGTAGTAATAATATCACTTTAAATATCAATCAATATAATTATACAAAGGTTAACAAATTATTTCTGTTAGCTTTCTTTAATTGTATTAGGTTACTGAATAAGCGTTTTTTTGGTGTATTTTTCACAGAATTTCTGTAGGAAGCTGTGAGTTAGTAGCTTTGTTATCCAACTACTCATTTCTAATCCAGTTAGAAATAATTTGAATTATTCCGTTGTCTGAAGCAGACAGTACTGGGCTCCAGTCCCATAGTGAACACTGACTCTGAGGTGCACGTCTATCTATCTAACGAGTCCCAAATGAGACGAAACGCGCGTCCTAGACTCCATTGCTAGCCACATTCTATCTGTCCTATGTATATTCATTCCTAGGTTCGAAAGACATGTCATAAATCAAGACTTACTGATACGCATATTTATTATATTTTTATCCACATTCACTAAACTACGTCAATGAATGTCTTTTTGACTGATTAATGTAAATTTAAATATCGCTCACTTATTAAACATGATAATTTTAGCGTTACCATAACAGATCTGCGTTCAGTGATTCACTAGTCTTTATTTACGTATTCAGTATTAGGTATTCCATTTGAAATATTCCTCTTTTCTTTATCCATTTTATATTACATCCATCTTTCCACTTCAATAGGTTTTAGGCTACAAGCTAAAATTTATCTTTCTTTCCGGATTGTTGTTTAAGAATAGAGATGCTTTCAACATACTCAAACTTTTTCATTTGAATTGCGGATAATTCCATTTACAAAATTCAAAGCAGCTAGTCCTTTCCATAAATTTTGATAGAGCAGTCATATCACATTTCTCGAAATGTATAGCGCAAATATTTATTGTTCAGACCAACTTTGTCTGCTCATTGCTGCATCGAAATTCCGCACATTGATTATCGTAAAGTTTTATCACGTATTTAGGTTATTAAAATACTCATAAAGTCTACTGTCACCGTTTTTCATCAATATATCATGTATATCATAACAAATAATCAATACAAATGCAACACCGTTCACTCGTGGCTTTGTTTGAAGTTTTCGAATGCGCATTAATATAAGTCACATTGTTATCATATTTACACAACGTTTTATCGTTGTCAGTTTGGCCACATTTGTAACAAAGTCAATTCATTTGTTGGTTAGTTATTTGACATCTATCTCTTTAGTTATCTGGTTTTTTAATATCGTATATTGTGAGCTCTGTGAAGACAAATAGGCTTTGATATTTCAAGCGTCTTAAGAATACGTATTATAAAACTTCTTTGCATATTATGAGTAATCTGTCGAAATTCTTTTTGTGAAGAAGTTGACCTTAAATGCATCTAAAAGTCTAAGATTTTTTTAAAAATTCATTAAGATTTCGTGCATCATTGTTGGGGTTTTAGATCCCCAGAACTTGCTCGATAAATATCTTAAATTTTTATTTTACTCATGGGCTGATCAGTTGACGTTGAGATCATATTTCCCGCCAGGAAAATCCTTGGCCGTGATTGGTTACTGTGTTATTCAGTGTGCTGTTTTTGTGACGCTCCAAAGGACGTTTCTTTGATGTAAAAATAAACCCGATTTGTGTGCTTGATTCATCGTGATTGCTGGGTGTTTGTAGAATAAACTTTGTATGCTCTATCAAGACTTTTTCGTTAGTTCCTTTGGGTCAACGGGTCAGAGTTAGATAAACTGCTACTATATTATTTTTACGTCTCTACCTCCATCCCTGCTAAATTTGTCTCTCCATCCATGTATTAGGAACACTTGGATTGATCCACCTACGTGACAGATTTTATACTGTCGTACGGTTCCAAGAGTATGCTTGATCATTTCAGTGGACAGTGATAATAATATTTTGGTTACATGTTTGGTGAATTCTTTTTGCAACATTCATCCTGTTGATTTTCAAACCATTTTATCACATTTCTTATATATGTGAAAAAGGTAACTGACACCAACTCTTTTCACCATTTAATTTTTTCACACTGAAATACAACATTTTATCGTCTTCATTTGTTTACAGTTTGAAACTGTTATTTAAAAATTTGTTTTTTATTCAGAAACTCAGATTCACTTCGAATATGATGTTTTTTAGTTAATTTGTGTTTGTCACTGTTTCTGCTATTAATCAAATAATTATCTAACTATTTTAGAAAGGTTATTTGTGGTCATTATCAAAGGAATAATTCTGAAGACTATGTGTCGGATGCTTCAGATGATGAGCCAACTTCAGTGTCGAAAAACTGGAGAGAATTCCTTCAGAACTATGATACAAAAATAACAGAATTATTTATTCAGTCATTAGTTCTTTTTGAACTTGCATCTTCTGGTGCATTGTTAACTTTCTTAGAATCAAATGACGATTATGCAATCGAACATGTACTGAAGGTATGTTCACTCCTTAATTGATCATATTCTCATTAGAGTGGTAATTGATTATCGTTTCCTTCATGCATTCTATTCTATTCCGTGCATACATCCGGCTTCAGTTAGATATTTTTTAATTTTTATTCTCAATTCTTCACCAGTCGTATACACTACTAACCATGAAGCGAAAACATTTCAATATATTCAAATTAAATTCAATATTCAGTTTCTTTATCCTGAATTTAATGTTTATTCAATCTCCTGAGTAACTATAAAGCCTGTTTTAAGTAAAATAAAATATTTTGGAATCATGAATTGATCAACATTAGACCACCATTAGCAAACTTGAAGCACTGGACGGCCGTTTTGTTCTGGTGTGGGACTTGTCAGTGGCGCGTATCCACGACACCCACACGTGAGAATCGAACTCAGGACCTTCGAGTTGTGGAGATTGTTGAGTTACTGTGAAATCATGAAGGTTCGACTCTTGCAGGCGGGAGTCATGAGTCCCATATGAGGACGAAACGCCCATCCAATGCTACCAGGTTTCTAATCGTTGTCTAACAATAATCGGTTCATAATTTCAAAAAAAAACTCAACAATTTCCTCTACCTTCTAATGGAAAATAAAATGCAATGTGAATCAGGCACTCTTTTTATCGTTAGTTATACTAACTGTATATTAGAATTTACGTCGGTAAAGTGGAGGTTCTTACATGCTACCGCGTTGTTGCAATTCAACCATCTTGTTTATTAGGTTTGACGTGGTTGTATTAATAATTTTAGTTGCTTTTGCTCTAGCTAATAGGTTTCGAAATGTTATATTGTTTAAAATGTCATTCCTGGGAACTTGCCTTTCTCTACCTGACCAACAGTAATTAAAATGTAGATTTCATACTTTTAGGTACTCATTTTAATGATCCTTACACGTTTTCTCTCACGAACTCTGAGTTCATTTTCATCGTATGGATCGGAATTAACATAACCGCTTCCATAAGCAAAACAGGCTATATTTCAAATACCAGCAGCGGAAGTCTAAAGAAGAACCAAAATGCGCCTCAACTTACTAATCCATCGCTTAACAGGTGTTTTCAATCCATCATTGGCTTCTTGAACCAAGTTACATTTTTGCTGTGTTCTGCCTTGTTTTTCTTCAGTAAATGATGTGTATTTAATCATGCCATGTAAACTTTGATTTTTCAGATTATATCGGTGGAAAAATACCCAAGAGAGGTTGCTTATCTATATGAAATGTCTGGAGACTTATCTAAGGCTACAGAATTATATGAACAGGTTCGATATCTATTATTTACACTCATTGTTCACGATTGCACTTTCTGTTTACTATTCTGTTTCAAATTATCTCTTAAAGTCTTTAGAGTTCCATAAACGTCATTGAACGGACTATCAAATCAGTGTTATTCTTATAAGTCACTCTGTAATTTTTAGCACATACTCTAGCTATAAATTTTTATAGGTAGCGTTCCAAAGTGCAATAACTCGAAGTATCGCGCATATGAATCTTTTACCGAATAAGAATGCAGTAAACGACTGTTTTTATTCAGTTTTTTGAACTTCAATTGCTGGAATACGAGTTAAAATCTCGGACTCTACCTCGACGTTTGTGACTGGAGGTAGTATTAATAAACATCTGTCAGTAAGCCATAATCAACACAAGCGTCACAATTTGACTGCGATTCTTAGTTTTATTCGTTTATCTGAGTACACAAACGTAACTACAGATACGTTCTATTGATCAGTCTTGACAAACATAGAACCTTGGTTAAAGGCTCATTAATTAAATCCTAACATCCGATACATAATCGCAAATCTCCTTAGATTTACAAACTTGGATTTTGTTTAAACATTAGTGCAAAATAATCCAATCCATGTAGTTCGAATATGCAAGGTAGACCACTATCTATCTAATCTCAAACCACGTCGAGTTTTACAAAGATCCATCAAATTAAACCGATTGTTTTATTTCTGTATTTATTCAAACACACAACTATTGATACGAAAGCGCACTGGAATACTTATGCGCTGCACAAACCAGTGAATATTTGTGTGAGCTGGGGAACTGACCTGGTACCCAAAACCGAAGTAGGTGCTTTTCGCAGATGGCTATACTTCGAGCCTTTAACCTACAGGTCGAATACAAAAGACCATGGAGCAACGTTAGGAGATACAGTCAATTACTAACAATAGGTTCATACCCCGTTTGTCCTTTCAGGATCCTGGAACCCATGTACGCCATGGTGTGCAATGAGAATGTTCCGACGACCCAGATTAATTCCTCGTATCTAACATCGGAGTTTAAGCCCGGAGCATTCGCTTCTTATTCTCGCAAGTCGGTAAACAACATTCCTGCCACCAGACAATGAGCAGGACTTCCCTGTTAATGGCCATATACGCGTGACCAAATGAGAGGTTGGGAGGATTCTCCCCTCATTTTGAACCTTACCAGGGCATTTCAGAATAAGGCTTGGCTCCATTCCAGTCCAATATAGAAGTGTTGCTAATCAGCCCTGGACCCTTTCACATGCCAAGCGAGTCATTGATATATTCCTTGTACATTAAACCTATAGATGTAGGCATTAAGTAATCGCTGAGTTACAAACTGACTGTCTGACGTCACCACTTAATCATATATTGTCGAACAATTGATCTTTATGTTCTTGTAACAACCTTTTTTTATGTATGACATAACCATCTAATTCAACTCGCAATAAGTTCCGTTATCGTATTTAAAATCGAAACCCTTTGCAGTCCTGTATTTATTTTGCAGATATTTTCTGAAACTTGGCAAAAACTGATAAAAATGGAATGTGAACTTGAAAAAACCACTTCAGATTTCTCTTCCATCAGCCTTCATAACTCGACTGACCGATCGGCAACTGTTATCAGCCCTGTCTTACAAAAACTATATGATAATGTTCAGCAAGCGAATCAGCGTCTTTTAAACTTCTGCCAACGAAGGTGTGCACAAACGAATGATCAGTCAGAAATTGAAGTGAGTCTACATGTGTTTACACAACAAATTACATGCTCTGCGGTAAAACTAAATTCATTTTATTTGAGAGCCCGAAATACTTTTCAGCTATGCTAATATACAGAATTTAAATCAGAAAATTCCTTACTAGAAATCAGAACTCTTGTTTCACAAATTGACCACCCATAATATTATAGGTTAAAACCCTCAGCGAGTACACCACTGCCTCGTCAATTTTGATTCAAGTTGTAATCTGATTTCAGCGTGACAGACTACATTCCTAACACTGTGTTAACCGGTTATGATAGTTTAAAATATTACTTATGAGCTATGATGAAATTATATTTTCATTGTGTTCTAACGTATTTGTAGAAGCTTCTCAGTTTACTACTATAAATCATCCTAACTTATCATGACTCGTAAAGTTAACAAATGGTTGCTAAAATAATCGGTTCTTCGTACTGATTTAAAGACAAATTTACACTACTTCACCTCGTTTTGCTTTTAAACACCGAGTAACTTCGATTTCAAACACTAGCAAACGTTTTTAAAACGAACTCTTTATTCAAGGTTACCGAACTGATTTTCAAGTTAAATATTTAGAGTCTGTTTTAAAGTTCGAACTATTATGACTTTTCTCAGTACATGGGACGTAATATATGTTAAGAAAAAAAACAGAATCACCTTTCACACTGGAAGCGAGAATTTATTTTCGTTTTAATGATCATCTGTTTGTTAACTACATTTTGATGTCTTCACTATTTACATTGATTTTGTACATATTTATAATGGGGGCTTTGCGATTAGACTACCTAACACTGTATAAGCTACTTCCCATGTGCGATTCTTTTCACCTCTTGAAAACTCACAAAGCCTGATTCCTTTAAGTGCTATTTGGATTGTTTCTAATCTTAATTTAATTTCATTGTTCAACAGCTTTTACTTTTTTTTTCTGTTATAGGATATATGGTTTAGTGTAATTGATTTATTGATGAAATGTGAATTTCTACAAAATCATCCTGTGTTAAACGCTCAGTTGAGTAATATATTCTACAATTCTTTCTCATTAGTCTTGTCTTACTTACCGCCAACTGTGATTGTTTCACATATCTTGAATGTAAGTAAACAGTTTATTGAATATCTGGTGTTTCTATCCTTCAACCTGATAGCATAAATATTTATCGTTGAATTTCTTAAGTTTACCATTCTATTCCTTTTGCTGTTTAAAATTAGTATGCTTTGTGTTTATCCATAACATTGTCTTCAACTTGTAGATCCTTTTTATCTTCAGATATCCTTTTTGAACTTCAAGTTGAATGATTACATTTTTATGCCTAATGTTTTTATTCATCTAATGAGAAAATATTTCAGTAGGTTTGGTTTTAAGTATATCGCTCTGGCATGCTTTAACACCTATTTAATGGTCAAAGCACACACTTCTCGCGTAATAGCCTGTACCTTTAAATACGAAATTTTGTAAGAAAAAATGTAATAATAATAATAATAATAATAATAATAATAATAGAAAATGAGAATTACTGGATTTTTCAAGAGCGTTACTTATTGTTTATCCTGAAACGGAGTTTCAGTCGGATAATCTATTTTTGTTTGAAGCTCTGAACTAAACGCTTTATTAAGCACTACATTCTTTCGCTTTAGTTGTAGATCCTAACTTTTTTGCCTATATTGTATTCACTAATCCAATAATCAGTAATAAATAATCATTTCTGAGAGACACATGTGAAATATTTCCTTACGTTACGATTTTTATCGTGAGTTTTTAGATTGATGGAACAGAAATTACAGTTAACTCTAAAATTAATTTATTGGTGAAGAAATTTATATCAGCCTGTCAATTTGAAGCGAACCAGATGGCACTTAACGAACAGTTAGCAGGAAAAGAGTTAACTGTTACCCAACTTCGAACATACAAACAGTACAAGCGTGGTTTTAGTAATCGAAGCCTTATTTGCTCTGTCTGTGGATTAGACCTTCGGACAAACAATTTATTGACTAGACGAGATTGGAGAGCAAAAATTATGATGTTGAATGGTGAAAAAGCTGTGAGCACTAAACGCGTAGTAGTATTTCAGTAAGTTAATATTCACATTGTTGTCTTCTGTGACCCTTGACGTGTAAACTTTCCATCAGGAAGAACCGGTCTTTTCCTGGGTATTTCTTCAAGATAGACTTTAACTTTGCATAAAATTAATTTTTATCATCTAGGCTGCTAGCGTTGGTAAGTGCAAAGAAATGAGTGACAATGAAGGGTGATTTGATGATTCTGGGTCCGTGAGATTCCCATCCTGAGTGCTTTTCGCGCTTTGGAGAACTTTATTGCATCTTCTTGTATGTAACGCATTTTCTTTATGTTCAGAATACAACAGCTTCTTCTCCTAAGCTAATCTTTCCTGCCCATATTGTATCCACTTTTTGCAAGTACATCCGGGTTATATCTTTTCAATTCCAAACCTGCTTAAATGGTCTTTTTGATCGTTCACATACTCCGGATATTGCACGCAGTTACGTTAATTGTTGGTCTGGTTGTCTGAATAACTATCGAACTCGTAATTACTGGAGAACACTCATCAACTCTGAAGCCAGAGTTGAAATGTGATTCATTGGTCTACCCCAGTCAGCATTTTTCGCTGGAGTCTCTAGCCCTATGTCCAATTCTCCTCGTTTGCACGGGTTTAAACGCAGGAGTTAACCCTAAAAATCTACGGGTGGAGTTAACGTATTTAGCTAATTTTTTCGTAATATTTATCTAAGCAGCTGTTTCAGTACAACTATTTTTGTTTACTGACTTCAGTATTTTATTGAATCCTAACTTTACAGTTGCCATCATGCATTTCATGAAAGATGTCTGAAGGAATTCCAATGTAAAACTGATACGCCCGCATCCGTGGTTAATTATCGTTCATGTTCCATTTGTCGACCTGCAGGCTATTCCCCTGTCACGACTAACTGTTTTTATTATGATACAGTCAAGTCACACTTGGATGAAATCCAGATAGACAGTCCTTCTACCCAGTCGTGTACAAAGAATGAGTACATTCTGTTTTAGGTAACTATATTATATCAGTTTCAGATGTTTTTTAATTTTACTGAGTTCGAAACCAGATTTCACACAGTTTGTTTAATACTAATGCTATGAGGTGTCTTAAATTAATCCCTTCAGACCTCGTGATTACGAATAATTCCAGATATTAGTAACTTATCCTAGCATTTCATATCAAACTTTAACGGTTCAAAAGGGCTGTTTGAGATCTGTAAACAACTGTCCCAATCGTAGTTTAGTAGGAATACTCCATTTATTGATTTTGACATAAGCTGACATGCCTCTTATTGAAGCCATAAATATTGTTTTCTTTTAACGCTTGGTTCAACAAATTGCAAATCCAAGGTATGCATACTTTGATTTCTGCGAACTATGTTTATGCTACTTTTCGATTACGCCAAAACTATCTTACTGATGACCAGCATTCCAGGTAAAAGTACATCTTGGTGGCGTTCTTAAGTAAATCAGTTGGAATTAAGGTATTGCATGTTAGATTTTTACGCACACTTGAAAGCATATTAAAGGATAGCTTGTGCTTTACCAACGCTAAGTGGAAATTGTCTACATCTACTTCATGAAAGTGATAAAAATAACTGTTGTGTAACCATATAGTAAGTGTAACCTGGTGTATAAGCTAAGCTACAGAAAATATTCGCTTTTGACGCAGATTGTATTAGGCAGTACTTGGTATCATTATCAAGGGTATTTTATGGATAAACCACATATCTGGACGCACATGCGCCATTGCAAACGATTTAGAGCCATGAAATTCAAAGTCCAACCACCGGTTACTAACATCTCGCGGACCAGGTAGTCTGCATCTACCAACATGACTCCGTTCACTTGTCAGTGACTTTATGGATTTGTGCTTTGTCTTGGTTCGGCCACCCCTAACTTTCTTCCAACACTTCCAAGATTTTCCATAAAAAGGTCGTGCGCGACCGGCTTCGAGCATTTGTCCCTTGTTGTATTTGGTCACGCTGTCAGTTCGCTAAGATCAATGATAGTCCAATTTCATTTCCAGGTTCTAGAACGTAGATGCACGTTCGGAGATCCGGCAATGCAAGCATGCGAATCTCCCCTCGACATGCAAAATTTCACTTCAGGATGGACCTGCAATTACAACTTAGCTAGTGTTAGGATATGAAGCAGTTGAGCGTGTTGACCACTGCACTTATCTCGAGAGTCTCATCAGTGCTGATGGTCTGGCGTGACGAAACTTTGGCACGAATATACAAGGCGCGACGGCTCTTGTTAACTTCCGTCACCTATGGTGTCTGCTAAAAAGCGGACGAGTGTACTGTACAACAGTTCGCTCCGTCCGACTTTATGGATATGAAAAATGACCAGTAAGAGTAGACCCGACTGTAGCTGTTACCTTGACGTGGCAGTATGGCTTACCAGTCGTGATGACCCAACCAAGCTATATTGGCTGCAACATATGTTGGTTCTACCATACCAGGTAGGTTTACTGGAAAACAGTAAGACAAAACAGAAACTCAAGGTCTGAGGGCGAAGTCGTACTGCTGACTGAAAACATCTCTCTTATCTCCATGACTCACCCTTCTCACATTACTTCACCACCCCGAACCTTGTGTGTCCAATAAGAAACCAGGCTTCTTTAGTTAGGACTTTAGGATCTCGCGCCATAGATGTATGCTGTATCTCGGAAACGCGCATACAGGATCCTAGTAAAGTCATTAATTTGATTTCACCTTGTCAAAATAAAGAACCAATTCGATTTACTCTTCGTGTGTCTGGTAGCCCAGATGCAGCCTCTACTTAATGATAATAAAGCTAAGAATATATTTCAGGAGCATCTAGAAAGACAGTTAGGTGGCCATGTAATTGATTCCCATCCAGAGGCAGCCTGGAATAATATCAAAAAGGCTGTGGAAACACCAGTGATATCTGCTAGTAAGGTTAACCATAAGGCTAAGAAGAAGCCGTGGATCTCAGTAGCATCTACCGAACTAATAGACGCTCGTAAACTCATCTCACCTGGCTCTCAACATGATGAAGAGCGAAGTGAGCTTAGGCACAGGCTGATAAGAAGCCTACGCCATGATCGAGAACAGTGGTGAGTAGCGAAAGCAAGCGAGATGGAAAGGCTACGGCGATAGGGAACAGTAGGCGACTCATTCAGACTCATCAAGGAAACTGGTATTATGAACACGAATCTTAGTGAAACTATTTAGGAAAAGGATGGTCTTATTATCCATTCTCAATCGAGAAGATTGGATCTATGGGCAGAACACTTCAGGGATCAGTTCAACTGGCCTTCATCCACACTTCGGTTACCCACGATCTCCAGTCATCCTGAATGGCAAGTCGACTTAAGTCCTCCTAGTCCACATGAAGTTGAGAAAGCGTTAGGAAATCTGAAGCGAGGTAAAGCAGCAGGTCCTGATAAGCTAACTATTGAGATTTTTAAGGATGGTGGTCCAGTTTTAGCAGTTAGATTGACTGAGATCCTAGGTAGAATCTGGGAACTGGACGTTATCCCATCCGACTGGTCTCAATCCCTGATTGTCCCAGTTAATAAGAAAGGAGCCTCGATAATCCTTAGATGCCTAACTAGTGCTCGTGAAGAGCAAACAAGAGAAAACCAAGCTGGTTTTCGACCAGGACGTAGATGTGTAGACCAAGTATTCACACTACGTCAGGTCCTAGAACAAAGACACTTTCAGACGTCCCACAATAGTAGTATATCGCGACCTTAAGGCGGCATCTATGTGGATCGTGAGGTTCTGTGGCAGTGTCTGTCATTGAAAGGTGTATCCAAAGAAGTACATTAACGTTATATAAGCTCTCTACTCGAACTCCACTGGTCGGGTGAGAGCATATGGCGAACTGTCATCGGAATTCACTACTACAAGTGGTGTCCGTCAGGGCTGTTCACTCTGCATTCTTATTTAACTTTGTCGTAGACATCCTTTTAGAGTTAACATTATCCTCGTCAGATTTTTCAAGGGTAGACCTTCTAACAGGAGGATCGCTTGCTGACTTAGAATATGCTGATTACCTAGTTCTATTCGGTGACAAAATGCAGTGTCTCCTTATTACCCTAAGCAACAATGCTAGCACGGATACACAAGGCTAGATTGGCTTTTGCCAACCTTCGTCGCTTATGGCGTAGGCGAGATATCCATCTGCTAACAAAAGGTCGAGTCTACTGTGCAGTAGTTCATTTCGTCCTACTTTATGGCTGTGAAACATGGCCAGTTAGAATAGGAGATATACTTAGGTTATTAGTATTCCGTCATAGATGTCTCCAAAGCATTGCTCGTGTAACCTGGGACAACCGAGTAAGCGATGCTGTCTTTAGGAAACGAGTACCAGGTAGGGATGGCAAATCAATCGATGAAGTATTGAAACTTCATCAGTTGAAGTGGTTGGGAAATGTGTTACGAATACCCACTCACTCGTCGAGCTATATTCTGCGATGTACAAACATGGCAGAAATCCATGAAGTCATTGACAAGTGGACTTAGCCATGTCGGTAGGTATCGACTACCTGGTTGTGGTCCGCGAGATGCTAATAATCGATGATTAGGGACTTTGAATGATATGGCTCTAAATCGCGTGCTCTAGCGCAGGTGCATCCATTGTTTGTCTTTCCTCAAATTCTAATCTGAATTCTTCATTACTATTAACCTTTTTTTGAACTGATTTGACCAACACAATTCTTGAATCAAATCTTCCATCCCTTTTTTAAATCAAATACTTTGATTATAATTTTTTTCACATTTTCAGGTTGATATTGATCAACATCTACGCGAAGTTTCACTCGTCCTTCAGGAAACTAATTCCAGAACATGGCATATTACATCTACGCAACAACACCTGTGATCTCTTGCTTCTAATGTCGCTTAATTTCTTAGTAATTTCCATGTGTCCGCATAATTATTTCCTTGTATATTTTCACTAAATTTTACAGAAAATTATTTCAATGTCTGAATATTTCTTTTCACTTGCTTTAGTATTCTAGTCAAAAGTATAAGCCGATTGCACTCGTCAGCTTCTACAATTCAGTCAGTCAGTAACAACGTAGAACTTCTTACATACGTACATAAGTTCATGTTGTCATACCATATTGGCATCGAGACGCAATAGTCCGTTCAAATTCCATAGTGGTAATGATAGTAGAAATATTAGCGGTAATGGAGAAGATTAGAGTTCGACGATATTATTCGAACTGCTCAAACTGGACCACCATCCTTAGAAATATCAGGTTATAGTTGTTGTTGTTGTTCCTGAAATATATTCTTATCAGTATAATTCAGTGACGTAAATTTAGAAAGAGAAAGATAGAGGTGATGACGAATTCAGAAGGTTCGAATTTCATAGAACACAAAGAATAGATGCATCTGCACCATTGCAAACGTTTTAGAGCCATGTCATTCAAGGTCTCTAATCATTGGTTACTAATGTCTCGCGGACCTAAACCATGTAGTCGACACCTACCGACATGTCTCATTTCACTTGTCAGTGACTTCATGGATTTGTGCCATGTTTTGGTTTGGCAGCCCCTAGCTTTCTTCCAACCTACTCCTACACCACAAAACATAGCTCGTCGAGGCAGTTGGTGGTTGGACACTCGTAACACACATCCCAACCTCAATTGTTAAGTATAATTTTGGTTACATAAGAGGAATGTAAATTGGTGGGGTTACGTCATTTTTCCAGATTTCGTCAGAGAGGTTATTGTAACGACAACCGTAAGGGGCTTACTACCCGTAGAGGTCATAATGTTGAACCGCCATCCAACATACTCTGGCTACGAAGATAACGCGGTTTGTTTGTGTCAATCGGTATCATGGAGCAATGCAAGCACACACATGTAGGCGCGATCAAGATTAGAAGCGAATAATCGACAAGGTGTGTAGACGTGCTAATAATAACTCGAGAAGAATGGAATTAGTTTGTCCAAAAGCTGGGACAAGCCATTTTAGCTTGACATATTAGTACACAACAGATGATGATTCTTTATTATTTGACGTGTCTCTGAAACGCGTCTTTTCTGGAGAAATAAACTGGGCCCCATTCCAAAAATATCATATCTTTGGAGACTGGTCTACGCTTATTTTTAATGTTTACCTCATATCGTGCATTATTCTTTTCTGATACTTATTTGTCGTTATTGAAGCATACTTTTATACGGATGACAGTTATTGGTACATAACAGATGGTAAACAGCATACAACGTTCTTCATACGACAAAGCATTACATGTCAACGAATTCTTTACAATAAATAGAAATATGCATTAAGAAATAATTCTTCAGTTGGAACGCTTATAACCGTTCCTTTCGAAATAACTGCAACACGTTAGTATCATACTAAAACCACTGAAATCGAGACTCAAATCACGATTTCATGATTAATTATTTTGGCAATTTAGTGTTTCAAGATTTTTTGGAATAGCTACAGCTGTGAAAAATAATCCCGTTAGGTTAGAAGTATGTATGGTTATTGTCCTGGCATTATGGCACAGATAAACCGGTCGGTTATGGATACAATCCATCATAGGTATTCCGGGTACCCCCGATCGCATGTTTCCTTAGACGAAAACTATCACACAGGATATTCGAGTCTATAAACATACTGTTGTATTCCTAACCGTCAACCAACTTCAGTGACATACAAAACGCGTCAATCAGAATTAAGCTTAGCACCAGAAACCTTGAGTCAGCTCTAAATTCTTATTGGTCCACTACTTGATAGCTTCTTTTCTCTCTATCCTGCCTCTTAGAGTCCAGATGCCAGCCTCCACAAAATTCGCTACATTTCAAGTTTATATACAAAACATACCGACCGATAGAATGATAAAATACACGAGCAAACCAAAAAAAGGCCATGGATAAGGGATTCCGTGAATGATAAACGGAAGTTTAGCAACAGTAAATCAGCTAATGAGTTGATCAAGATCTTTTGACAAAAGCAATAAAGGTGTTGGAGAGTCTAGTTATTTAATAACTATACAGTGAGAATATTTATAATAACAATCCGTAGGTTAGTCCTAGGAGTTACCATTCCTCTAATTTTCCTCAGGTTATGGCATGTACAGTTCGTGGGTCTTACCTACAGGACATGATAAACATTTTGTCCCATTACAAATGCAATCTTAACACAGAAAAACTCTGAGCAGTAGAAGCACATATGGGGAAATATCGGACCAGTTGATGCAGATTAATTGTTTTCTGTCATCATTTTCGCAGCTGTTTAGTATTTATGAGTAATTAAAGTGTACTAAAAGTGTCCTCCAATAAGTTTAGCGATATTATATGTTCAACTGGTTTTAATGAATAATAACTTTGTATTTGTCGTTAAACACCTAAGTACAAAACATATTTCGATTAAAATAGCGTCCCGTCAAAACCCAGGATTAAGTGCATACTCTTCGGAAATATATATAAATGGGTTTGCCTTAATTATATGGTAGATTATCGTAACTGAATGTAAATGAACCGGGAAGTATTTACAAACATTAGCAAACACTAACACTGTCCCTCGTAAACTTAACGAATTGGAATAGTATCTAACCCGGACACTAAAACAAAATAACATTACACTTGAATCATGGTAGACCTATCGTAATAACTATCCCTTTCGTTGTCCCGTGATTTCTATTTCCGTTTTATTTTCCCTAGTCCAGGGTGGCTAATCTATTATGGCACTTAAAACGACACTAAATAATGCATTCACGTAGCAGGATGATGTCCAGTTAAGAAGAATTAATTGTTCTTAACTGACGCCTTGCAATGTAGTGCCGAAACCATTTTTGAACTGGAACACTTCAAATAATGTGACACGACCCCTACATTAAACAAACCTATATACCATATCAAGCTGACGTATGAATTCTGTAATTATGGTTTTCACAATATATTATTATTATCACTGTTTCAAAATGGGAAGTCTGAATCAATGGACACTCTTATTTAATGATAATTTATTTTTCCCCGAAAATAATTTTGAACTTATGGGTCTATAACTAGCTTCACAAAACATTTAACAGTTTTCGGATTTTATCCGTGTTAAGCAGGTAGACGGCTAAGTGGGCGCAGATGTAAAGCAGCTGACCTCGTAATTAAGATAAACTCGTATGGTATATCATGATATGTTAAATAGCTACTGGGCGCCCAAGTTTATACTACCACTGGATTGGATACTCGAACAATACGATAGAGACTAATCGCGTTATATTATATTCACAACCAATATAGAGATCCAGAGTAACACTAGACGGTAGTTCATTCCACACAGTTACAAGCGACCATTCTTCCTGAGTCCGGAGAAGAAATCAGTAACAAGAAAGGCAATCACACACTCAATAGTCAGTAATCTGAGTGTCTCTCTACGCTCAATGACTAGTTACGCCATACTTTTACCAACACACATCACTAAGATTCCAGCAAATTCTAAAGAATCCAGATTTTTTCAAGTTAGATAAAATAGATTATCAGAACAATGGCATTTGTTGCATTTGAAACTTCGCTCCAATAATGGTACCAATTATACGAATTTTGTTTGAAAGCACAACTCACATCACATTTGTGATATGCTAAACACTAAAAAGTTTCACTTATAACTATTTCTAAAATTATTTTTAAAAAAGCATACATTACCCAATCACATTTACTAACGAAAGTGCTTTAGGCAGATTTGGTACTTTTCTTACCAGTTTATTCTGAATACTAGTAATTTAACTGCAAACTGAATGTATTTGTAAAGACTAAATTTAAAACCCTAATTTACAGAAAATATCACATGTACGAAAGACAAAATTATTAACAAATGAAAGCTTGATAAACGGTGTTCATATCATGATCTTTGCTCAATAGTAAATTTACTAGAGTAAGATTAAAGATGCATTTCATGATTTCGGGACGCCAAGTTTCCAAAACTATTCGTATTGTTAACAATTACGATTAACTGCTTTATTCGTCAAATCAAGTCATAAAGAATATACCAAACAAGATTATCAAAACAGACTAGGCTCTGATCATTTTCACGATGTAACGTATTACTCCAGAGGTTGTTAATTTAATGATGGTCGTTTGAAACACACCTAGACTCTGGACATAAGTTAGCCAGTCAAAAATGTTACCTCCAGGTCCATAAGCGGCTTTGCAAGCTAACAAAACGATGCCAGATTGACACAGACTAGTTTCGATTATGTTATGCAGTCTTTCGTAAAGGTCTGTGCGGTAAATTGTTTCACTGGTAAATATATAGTCAAACTTCACGTTAGCACCTAACTGCCAAAGTTTGGAAAGCTGAAACCAATCCCCACTGAAGAACTCCAACTGTGTCTGTCCATTGTGGCTGTCAGCGTTGCCTTCACATTCTGAATTAATGATGACGTTGGGGATAGTCCAGAATTTCAAAACTTCAGAATTATAATCCTTAAAAGAAAAAAATAGTGAAGATACTAAAGAGAACACTGAAACATTCAATATAGGCAAACTTTGTACAGAACGTCACCATTCTTTTTGACCTTTAGGGTTCTGATGAAATTTTGCTGGTTATCTAGGCACTTTCGGAAACAAGCTTCAAAACCACAGATATGATAACATACATTATTCATTTGTTAAATCATAGGGCGAGACATTATGCAACTCGATCAAATATTTCGTAAACACATAAGATTATAATAGTATGCTGACATAGCGTTAATTTAAAAAAATTTGCTTACTTGAAACCTAACTAAGCAAGCGCCAGCCTTGATAGCGAATATACCTGGTAGACCACACCCACAACCTAATTCCAAGACGTTTTTCCCGCATATCTTTTCCGAGAAATGTTTTGATATGTAATCGACAAGATCCTTGCTGCCATCCCATAGAGTGAAACCACCTTCAAATAAACCAGGTTTAACATCTTCATGTGCGTGGACAGGATCAAATACACTGAGTTTATTTTTGGGGAGCTTCAGTAGATACTCATTGAGAACAGCTTCATCAATGTACCGCAGCTCTGCAATGAAATAGTAATAGTACATCAATTCTATCATTGTTTCGTATTTCAGAAGCGCCTTCATCTGTTTAGAAACAGTCAATTATACAAAAATGAGTGCCTATGGGATCCTGAATGGGACACACGACTGTAGCTGCTACCTTGACGTGGCAGTCTGGCTTACCAGTCGTGTAGGTTCTACCATGCCAGGCAGGACGATTAGAGAACGATCAGACAAAAAACAGCAACTCAAGGTCTGAGGGCGAAGTCGTACTACTGACTGCAGAGGGGTGTGACAGCAGTAAGATGTTTCCCTCGGACAACCAACATCTGCAGCGATGCTGCCTTCTCACAAGGAAGGAAGTGGTAAGATAAAGTCGACCCTATAAGTGTCACACCTCACTTTATCTCACGGATTTCCGTCAAGAGGAGCTAATACTCAAAATACCGTTCACCAAAAGGCAGAGCGTGACTGGCCTAAAGCAGTTTTCCCTTGGGCTCTGCGGTCACGCTACCAGGTCGTTAAGACCAAAACTAATCTACCTTCTTTTCCATGTTCCTCAAAAAGAACTCTTCCACGGTGTGGGCAGCCGGGAAGTAACATCTGCCCTCATACATGTAGCAGCACGTGTGACCGAAATGTTCACAATCCAATCCTTCCTACACACTCTAACATCTCTCTTATCTCCATGACTCACCCATCTCACATTCCTTCATCACCCCGCACCGCTAATACAAACAATTTAAGCAAATGACAAAATTCATTCTCCTGATTACCCAAGCAACAATGCTAGCATGTTCGGGATGTGGTTTTCTCCCTCGAAATGCAAAATGTTGCTTGAAGATTGGGTTTCATCGGTACCAGAACTAGTAATAGGGAGTAAAGTAGTCCAACGTGTAGACCACTTCACTTATCTCGTGACTATCATCAGTGCTGATGGCCTGGTGACTGACGAAATCTCAGCACGGATAGAGAAAGCTCAATTGGCGTAGGTGAGATATCCGTTTGCTAACTAAAGGACGAGTCTACAGTGCAGTAGTTCATTCCGTCCTACTTTATGGCGGTGAAACATGGCCAGTTAGAATAGAAGATATTCTTAGGTTATTAGTATTCCGTCATAGATGTCTCTAAAGCATTGCTCGTGTATCCTGGGTCAACCGAGTGAGCGGTGCTGTCTTTAGGAAACGAGTACCAGGTAAGGATGGCAAATCAATCGATGGAGTATTGAAACTTCATCAGTTGAAGTGGTTGGGAAATGTGTTACGAGTGTCCAACCACCAACTGCCTCGACGAGCTATGTTTTGTGGTGTAGGAGTAGGTTGGAAGGGAGCTAGGGGCTGCCAAACCAAAACATGGCACAAATCCATGAAGTCACTGACAGGTGAAATGAGACATGTCGGTAGGTGTCGACTACATGGTTTAGGTCCGCGAGACATTAGTAACCAATGATTAGAGACCTTGAATGACACGGCTCTAAAACGTTTGCAATGGTGCAGATGCATCTATTCTTTGTGTTCTATGAAATTCTAACCTTCTGAATTCGTCATCACCTCTATCTTTCTCTTTCTAAATTTACGTCACTGAATTATACTGATAAGAACATATTTCAGGAACAACAACAACAACAACAACAACTATATCCTGATATTTCTAAGGATGGTGGTCCAGTTTGAGCAGTTCGAATAATATCGTCGAACTCTAATCTTCTCCATTACCGCTAATATTTCTACTATCATTACCACTATGGAATTTGGACGGACTATTGCGTCTTTATGCCAATATGGTATGACAACATGAACTTATGTACGTATGTAAGAAGTTTTAAGTCATAGTTTCTTAAGGCGCATCACTTCCGTATGCATACCAATGATACAATAGGTGGAGTATTGTATCTTCTATCACTACCTAGTACCGTTCACAAAATCAAAACATGAATTTGAGAACATAAATTTATTTGAAACGTATTCCGAAAGCAGTGAATACGAGGTATTCAGTTATATATCAATCAAAGTGATGATCACTACCACACGAGGTGTTTCCCTCGGACAACCAGCATCTGCAGCGATGCTGCCTTCTCACAAGGAAGGAAGGGTTAGAAAAGGTCGACCCTAAAAATGTCACACCTCACCCTACCTCACGGATTTCCGTCTCCGGCGGTAAGGGTGCCCACTAAGGGCCTTTAAGAGCGGAGCTAATCCTCAAAAAACCTTTAACAAAAAGGCCGTGCGTGACCGGCCTCAAGCAGTTGTCCCTTGGACTCTGCGGTCACGCACCCAGGTCTCTAAGACCAACACTAATCTACTTTCCTTTTCAGGTCGCTCAAGAAACAACCTTCCCTGGTATGGGCTGCCGGGAAGTGACAACCGCCCTCATACCCGTAATAGCACACGAGATCAAATTGGTCGAAATCAAATCCTTCCTACACCAACACACACCTCTCTTATCTCCACGACTAACTCTTCTCACATTCCTTTATCACACTGCACAGCTAATGCAAACGATGCGAGCTCACGAAACGTTATTTTTGGTCTCCTGAAACCCCGTTCTATACTACATGTTGGGGCTTTTAATGTACGGACATTGTGTCTAAAAGGGCAACAGGCATCATTAGCTAGGACTTTAGAATCTCGTGCCATCGATGTATGCTGCGTCTCGGAAACGCGCATACAGGATCCTAGTAAAATTATTAATCTGATTTCACCTTGTCAAAATAAAGAAGCAGCTCGATTTACTCTTCGTGTATCTGGAAGCCCTGATGCTGCTTCCAGGGGTCTTGCTGGCGTAGGCATAGCATTGAGCCGTAGGGCTGAACAGTCTCTCGTTGACTGGATCCCTGTAGATAGTCGCTTGTGCGCTGTCCGACTAAACGGGACAGTAAGGGTTCGGAAAGATAGGGACACTCGTCGTTGCCTCTTCGTCGTATCTGCCTATGCCCCCACTGACTGCAATTCAGACGAGGTTAAAGATGAGTTTTACCGAAAGCTTTCGGACCTCCTTCAAAAAGTTAGGCGCTCTTATATAGTATTAATGGCTGGTGACTTTAATGCTGAAGTAGGTAGACTAAGTGAAAATGAAAGACAACTAGGTGGATGTTATGGTGTTGCGGCTCAGAGAACAGACAATGGTGACCGTCTGTTGCAAGTATGCTCTGACAACCACCTGTTCTTAGCAAACACTAACTTTAGGCATAAGTAAGAGAATCTGTTTACCTGGCGACCTCCAAAGTCGTCTCAACGTTGGACGCAACTAGATCACATCGCCATCAGCCACCGATGGAGGGGTTCGATAGAAGACCTTCGCTCGTTCTGGGGCACATGTTTAGATTCAGATCATGCCCTAGTGCGAGCGCGTATTTGTTTGAAGCTTACTGGGCGTAGGAAAGACACCGTAAGAAAGCCTCTTAGGGTTTTAATGATAATAAGGCGAAAAATATATTTCAGGAACAACTAGAAAGACAGTTAGGCGACCTCGCAAGTGATTCCCATCCGGAGGCAGGTTGGAATGATATCAAGAAGGGTGTGGAAACAGCAGTGATATCTGCTAGTAAGGTTGACCATAAGGCTAGAATGAAGCCGTGGATCTCTGTAGCATCCACCGATCTGATGGATGCCCGAAAACTCATCCCACCTGGCTCTGAACATGATGAAGAACGAAGTCAACTTAGGCGCAGACTTATAAAAAGCCTACGTAACGATCGCGAACAGTGGTGGGTGGCGAAAGCAAAAGCGATGGAAAAGGCAGCGGCGATCGGCAACAGTAGGCAAACTTTTTCCAACTCATCAAGGAAACTGGTATTAGGAATCCTAGTGTGAGTGAGACTATCTCAGAAAAGGACGGGACTATTATTCATTCTCAATCCAGGAGACTGGATCGATGGGCAGAACACTTTAGGGATCAGTTCAACTGGCCTCGAGCCACTCTTCGGTTACCCACGATCTCCAGTCATCCTGAATGGCAAATCGACGTAAGTCCCCCTAGTCTTAATGAAGTTGAGAAAGCGTTAGGAAATCTGAAGCGAGGACGAGCTGCAGGTCCTGATAGACTGACCCCTGAGATATTTAAGGATGGTGGTCCAGTTTAGCAGCTAGGTGGACTGAGATCTTAGGTAGAATCTGGGAACTGGACGTAATCCCATCCGACTGGTCTCAATCACTGATTGTCCCAATCTATAAGAAAGGACAGAAGTCTTCTTGTGACAATCACAGGGGAATAAGTCTAACTAATATAGTATCTAAAATATTGGCCTCAGTAATACTTCGACGCTTAACGAAAGCTCGTGAAGAGCAGACTAGAGAAAACCAGGCTGGTTTCAGACCTGGACGTGGCTGTATAGACCACATCTTCACACTACGACAGGTCCTGGAACACAGACACACATTTAGACGTCCTACAATAGTTGTTTTCCTGGACCTAAAAGCGGCATTTGACTCAGTAGATCGTGAGGTTCTGTGGCAGTGTCTGTCATTGAAAGGTGTACCAGAGAAGTACATTAACCTCATACAAGCTCTCTACTCGAACACCACTGATCGAGTGAGAGCTTATGGCGAACTTCACTTCAAGTGGTGTCCGTCAGGGATGTCCACGGTCTCCATTCTTGTTTAATTTTATCATAGACACGCTCCTAGAAAGTAGCCTTATCCTCGTCTGAATTTTCAGGAGTAGACCTTTTACCAGGTGGCTCGCTTATTGACTTAGAATATGCCGATGACATAGTCCTACTTGGTGAAGACGCTGACAAAATGCAGAGTCTTCTGACTACCCTAAGCAACAATGCAAGCATGTTCGGGATGCGGTTTTCCCCCTCGAAATGCAAAATGTTGCTTCAAACTGGGTTTCATCGGCACCTGAACTAGTGATAGGGAGTGAAGTAGTCGAACGTGTAGACAGCTTCACTTATCTAGGGAGTCTCATCAGTGCCGATGGCCTGGTGACTGACGAAATCTCAGCTCGGATACAGAAGGCCCGATTGGCTTTTGCCAACCTGCGTCACTTATGGCGTAGGCGAGATATCCGTTTACTGACTAAAGGACGAGTGTACTGCGCAGTGGTTCGCTCCGTCTTACTTTATGGCTGTGAAACATGGCCAATGAGAGTAGAAGATATTCGTAGGTTAATTGTTTTCGATTATAGGTGTCTTCGAAGCATTGCTCGTATATCGTGGGACAACCGAGTGAGCAACGCTGTTATTAGGAATCAGGTGTTAGGGAAGAATGGAAGATCAATAGATGAAGTAATGAAACTTCATCAGTTGAGGTGGTTGGGACATGTGTTGCGTATGCCTAACCACCGACTGCCTCGAAGAGCTTTGTTTTGTAGTGTAGGAGTAGGTTGGAAGAAAGTTAGGGGCGGCCAAACCAAAACATGGCAGAAATCCATGAAGTCATTGACGAGTGGACTTAGCCATGTCGGTAATTGTCAACTACCTGGTTGGGGTCCGCGAGATGATAATAATCGATGGTTAGAGACCTTGAATGACATGGCTCAAAATCGTTCGCAATGGCGCCAGTGCATTTATTCTGTGTTCTCTCAAATCCTAATCTTCTGGACTCTTCAACTTTGTAAACTTTTCCCACTGAATCATACTTCTTGAATAATATCTTCTAATCCTAACCTCTCCGATTACTTCTGATACCTTTACTACCTCTTCTACTATTGGATTTGAATTGACAATTACATCTCTGTGCTGATGTGGTATGGCGACATGAACTGATGTACTTACGTACGAAGTTCTACGTTGCACCTGACTGACTGACTCGCTACATCAGAGTGCTTGGGTTTTTGAAAACTAAAAATGTTTTAGTACAACCTTTCTTTAATTTTGTTCGAGTTTTATTTACCGGAAATGTACGCAAAGCCTCAAAGACGGCAAAGTGCACACCTATTCTCTCAAACTCTTACTGTCGAATTCAAATTTACAGTATGCATATGATCCCTAATGAGAATCAAACCCAGGAACAACCGTCCTAATTTCGATTCCAAAAATATACTTACATGAAAAATAAATAACGAATTCGAAGATATGCTAAAGATGGACTATGTTAACTATTTATGCTGGCTGATGAATGACCATGATTTTGTTCGGTGTGATCTGTTTAGGAATTACGTGTTCATATATCAGTATTACATTCTAAACGGTAGCGATGATACCCACTGTGTACAACGCAAGATGCTTGTTTACTAGCTTGAAATCGATTTTAAAAAATGATCTTCATACAAGCCATCATAAATACACGATACACAAAACAACCGTTTTCTTTTTTTTCGAAATTACACTGTTTGGAAAATCCGTAAAGAATGGTACCAATGTAGAAAAATTTACGTAAACTTACTTGAACCATCTCTGACTACGTGGAAATCCGTGCGCAAACCTAAAACATTTCTGTGACCTGAAAAATATTGATAACACACACCACTTACCATCACTCAAACTGAATGATTGAACTAAGTCGGAATACGTCACAGTATCGTTCTGCCTTAATTCTTTTTCCTCGGTGTTGGCGTAAAACTTGAATTCAAACTAAAAGAGAACAGCGAAGTCGAAAATTAGACATATACAACGCACCACAAGTTGCAAATAAAAATCGCATTTTCCAACTTCTTAACGAAACGGCATTTAGAAGAAATAGTAGATACCGAAATATTCAGCATTTCCACACCTTGTAACTTCTTTAGTTAGAATGTCATAATTATCTACTGCTCCCTAATACATATATCCATATTCAATTATATACTTAAAGGACCTTATTTATTTGTTCAAATACAATTCAAATCAAGTCTTACATGAAAATTCAACAACTGTTGTGTACCTTATCGACATGGTTCGAACTAAACCTTCTTACATATTAATGTGTTTACACGCCTCTGCGGGCGAATATCATCACAAAGAATATGGTGGCAATAAAAAAGTGCTAGGATGTATAGTTTAGTATTAAGAGTTAAAGATAAAGAGATTTAAGGTCCAGCAACAGCTCTTACAGTTAGTCTGTATGTACCCTGTGACTATAAATCCTAATGTTACTATCTTAATCCTAACCCCAGATTATAAACTCTATATCCCAATCCTAAACAATTATTATGTCTAAATCCTGACTTTATTAATATAAAATACGCATGCTCGCTGTTCATGGTTGTCTACACAATGAGGATTAGTCAGCGTTACCTTACGAACTGGATGAGCTTATTGTTACGGTTCACCTTTAGCAGTTGCAGTAAAAATTGGTAGGGTTGCCGATTTTGTAGAAGCTAGCGCTAATTGATATGCGACTAAAATTACATGAAAATTCACATTTGTATGACTAACCCAGTAATTCCCAATTCAGATTGGATCAACAGACATCATTAGTTTATTGAAAATAAGTTGGTTTGCAACAAATAAATTCTATGATAGTTTGACCTTAGAGTCGGCTTAAGTTCCACAGTGTATATTTAATACTGTGCAGAGTAATATGAGATTAACTAGAGCCTAAAAAAGAAATTCCCGAAGACTAGCACACCTGATTCGATGCTCAAAAATATTGCCCGAAATGCAAATAAAGTAAACATAGTGACTTCTCAGTGACTTTGGTAAAACTAGCCACAGTTACCTGATGAATTGAGATGTTTACAAGGAAATAACCAAAAACCGAATAAAATCCATAGGCTACATAAAGTTCGTCCATGAATCATAATCTTGTGAAATGTTTCTGATGATAACAGAAAAACATCTACTGCATGCAGAAATACTAGGATAGCATCAGTTTGGTCTAATAATGTGTTGAATGTTTAAGGACAACCAGGAGTTATTACAGATGTCAGTGAAAGTAGATTAAATAAGTCCAGACCTTACATTGAGCCTTTTGACTTCTTATAACCCTTTCCATCCAGTGATACAGGTATCTTTATGTGCTCAGTAGTTATACATAGACACGTGAAGATATATAATAGTGAGAGTTTGTAAATAAATGTCTGTAAAAGGTGTTAATTACGAAGTGATACTTTTTAAATTGAACCTAATATCCTCACTTAACATAGTTTTCATTATCAGGCTAAGAGGTTGACAGATGTTGAGGCTGTGCAGAAGAAGCAAGCTATCATAAATGTCAGTAAATAGATCAACATCATCATCGTCAACAGCAACGTAGAACATTGCACGTAAGTACAGCAGTTCAAGTTGCCATACCAAATTAGCTCAGAGATGTAATTGTCAATTCAAATCCAATAGCAGTAGAGATAGTAAAAGTGTTAGAAGTAATCAGAGCTCTCTCAAATCTTCTGGATTCGTCAGCACCTCTACCTTTGTCTTTCTAACCTTATCTCACTGAATTATATTTCTTGAATAATATCTTCGAACCCTAGTCTTCTTTATTAACATTAATACCTCTACTATCTTTATCACTATGAGATTTGATTTGACATTTGCGTCTCTGTGCTGTGGTATGGCAACATGAACTTATGAACATACGTACGAAGTTCTACGTTGCAACTGACTGACTGAGTGGGTTCGAAGATGTTATTCAACTAGAATAATTCAGTGACGTAAATTTAGAAAGAGAAAGATAGAGGTGATGACGAATTCAGAAGGTTAGAATTTCATAGAACACAAAGAATAGATGCATCTGCACCATTGCAAACGTTTTAGAGCCGTGTCATTCAAGGTCTCTAATCATTGGTTACTAATGTCTCGCGGACCTAAACCATGTAGTCGACACCTACCGACATGTCTCATTTCACCTGTCAGTGACTTCATGGATTTCTGCCATGTTTTGGTTTGGCAGCCCTTAGCTCCCTTCCAACCTACTCCTACACCACAAAACATAGCTCGTCGAGGCAGTTGGTGGTTGGACACTCGTAACACATTTCCCAACCACTTCAACTGATGAAGTTTCAATACTCCATCGATTGATTTGCCATCCCTACCTGGTACTCGTTTCCTAAAGACAGCACCGCTCACTCGGTTGACCCAGGATACACGAGCAATGCTTTAGAGACATCTATGACGGAATACTAATAACCTAAGAATATCTTCAACAGTGCAGTAGTGCTGATTGTAGTGAGAGACAATTAAATTAATTGAATTTATGGTAGATTATTTCGATGGCACTAAAGACTTTGTCTTCCATGAGCAGTATCATAGGTGCAAACACGGCCAGAAGCATGGATAGAAAAACAACGCAATTGAGTATTGCAAAGTCTTTGTGGGACATACACAAAGGTAGCACCTATTTTGTCACCGACAACTAAATAAGCCTTTATTTATGACTGTTTATAAACAAGACCAACTATGATAGACGTGCACCATACAAGTTCTACGTCAACACCAATCTGCAATCAGACAGCAGAATATGTACTATGAGCATTTCGGATTAACTCCACCTGTAGATCCTTTGAGGCTACTGCCGGTCCTAAGCCCGGATAAAAGAGGAGGGTGGGACGTGGGGTTGGCGACCACATCCCACCAAAAAACTAACATGCCAAAAAAACGCTAACCAAAACGCATTTCTAATTTTAATAGCTTGTCAATAGTATATTACAATGCGAAACATTGTAGCAGAACACTTGGACTTATCTGTGAATGTTAATTAACTTACGAGGATTGTGTTTTGTTTTCCCCTATCAACTGAGGAAGAGTTGGGGACTCTAGGAACATGTATTCCACAAAATGTTACGGTGGTAAATTAATATGTCCGCCTTCTCAGTGAGTAATTCATCCACCTCTAAGACTGCTACCGTTAATTAATGGAGAAACCCAAAAACATCTCTCTGATACATTCTGGCATAAACCCTTAAAACAGACTTGTCCGTTAAGTTCCCTTTATTGAGAAAAGTGAGTAAAAATAGGCATCTGTAACATTCGGTTTTATAGAATCAAGAGTTTGTGATACGCTCTGTATTACTGTCCTCCAAGTGCCCTAACATAGAAATTCACATCCTCATCGATAACTGAAGACTGGAGAACTTTTGGACTTCATAACAGTTTCAAACACAATATGAGGGACAAACCAGACAAGCATTGACAAAGTGAAAAAAGGACAGAAGTGATTTTTACTGATAACCTTTTCGTTTCTTCAGGCACATCAGAGTATTGCCTGAAACATGACCATCAGTTAACAATTTTTTTGTAGTTTATGGTCATTATGTATTTCGGATTAGATCTCACCATTACTGTATATAGTTACTGCATTACAAGAAACATCCAGTGATGAAATGTAATGTGTTCAATGGACTACTGTTTAATGAAAAGTTCTACTTATTGCTAACGTCGCATTCTTTTTAACATGCTATTTACTTAAGTCTTCTTGATGATTTTCGTCTACTGTTTCAAGGCAGTTCATAAAATGACGGGTCTTATTTCTGCTTTCAGGAGTCAAGCTATGACCATTAAATTAGTACGGAGACCTAATGTCTGCATAGTTCACCGCCATTCCCTCATTCTTGTTTGATTAAGGTAACTTTGACTTTGCCGCGATACCTTTCCCACACTGTGGTCTCATTAACAGTGAATACGTCACTGAAAACTAAAGTCAGTACTTTTATCACACGCTAATCCACACTACACAGAGTACACCAACTACCATGTGCAGCAAACAACCTTGAAGTTTGAAAAGTCCAGACAACCTGGTAGCGTACATTTGTGCAAACTAAACGAGTATTTTATTAAACTTTTGGAGATGCCTAATAGGATGCAGCTTTACGGGCTTTTGTGAACGTACAGAGCATGAAATAATTGTGATTCAAAAACATCTAATTTGAATAGAACAAGGGACTCGTCATCGCTTTCTACCACCTGCAACAGTACGTCGCACATAGTGCAAAAACTAGTTACTAATACAGGTAGGTCCCATTCATTTACTGTTGATGCTGGTAGCATAGAGTCAATGGTTTCTATGGGAGATTAGTCATTTCCTTATGTCATCACCCATTTAGTGACCCACAAGCAGTAAACTCACTTGCATTACTGGCCACCAACGACCCACTACTGGTAGAGTTAGGGAAAGAGGAAGCTGTCTGTATTGTAATGAGTCTGCTTTAATCTTAGGACCAGAGGAAATGATATCAGCCACTCATTAGACCTGCTTCTGACCCTAAATATGTTGATATAAGTGGGAAATCTGATAAACCTCCTGATTTCCTATACAAACTTTAAAACCTCAAACCTACTTAGAATTCTCGGTCTATATCCTATGAATTAGTGCAACGTATTACTGTAAATCACTGTGGCCCGTTTCTAAAATCTTATGATTTATTTTTAATTCATGTTCTTGGCGATCAGATGTGGCACTAACAAACAGTCTTAGTAGAAACTTCATTCCAAGTGTTCTCATAAGGGAGTTCGACATGAAAGGATATCCGATGCATTTGCAGACGATATTATAGATCGCTTCACGGAAAAGCACTTTAAAAGATGTCCAAATGATAGAGAACACTGAAATCTACTGAAAGCTCTTCATGCCCCTCAGTCTGATGCCTTTGAGGCACGCTGCCACATCACTGAATCCAACCAATCCAGAACAGCTAAAAATTCCTTTGATATGTTTACACCTTAAAATCTCGACTCAGAATATTCATGAACTCTTGAGAATCCAGTTAAACACTTTGAACTCATTCAGTGAATGAACCGTCTTCAGAAGTGCAGTTATGGTGCGGAGATTACTACCGACCATCTACAGATA